TCCTTTTTATATTCCTCAAAAATCATACTACCTAATGGGTCAGGTAGTTTATTAAAATATCGCTCAACTATTCCCTTATTGTATCCTTGCTTAGCAGTTGTTGCATTATATAGATAATGTTGAGAAAATTCCTTTATACCTTTCCAGCTTGTTAAAGTTAATTTTTCTATTTCTTTTAATCTTTCATTTTGCAGGGTTGTATATCCTAATTCTGGGTCTTCAGCTATGATAATATTAGATACTATATTTGCAAAGTTGTGAGGATTACTTCCTGCTCTTTTTAGCTCTTCGTAGTTATTAGGATTCTTTTCAACCCATTGTTCCCATAGGACTTTAGCAGATTCACCCAAAAATGTTTCTAAATAAGTTATCATATCCTCCACCTTATTCCCTATATTATGCTGATTTTGTATGTATTTTTGAACTATTAACCCCTTCCAAATACTAATGATATTTGGCCAGTCTATGGGATCATGTGCTGCTAGATTTAGTATAGCCCCATCACTTTTTTGATTTTGAAATTTTATTGGTTTCTCAAAATCTCTTCTTTTAGTGCCCATGTGCCTATACTATCCTGGGATATAATGATATGAATATTCTTCTTTTTCTGGAGGCCATCTTCCTGCTGCCCTGGCTGGTCTTTCTCTTTCTCCTTCATTTTTTACAGAACCCTCTCCGTATCTTTTCCTTTTTCCTGTTCCCAAATCTACTTCCATAGCTTCCATTGCATTATCTAGATTATGCAAACCTTCCTCATCCAATGAGTCTATAAAATCATTATATTGTTCTGCATTATCTTCTTCTTCTATATTCTCTATTTCCTCTATCAGGTTGTTTTCTTCTTCATAACTCTCTAGTAATAATTTCTCATTTACTTCCCATTGCTCTTCCTCACTTAATACCTTATCTAACTTTTGGATTTCTTCTCTTGGTTCTTCTGACTTTATTTGTTCTATTTTAATTTCCTGGGTTCTGGGGGTTTCTATGGCCAAGCTTTTCTCTTTTTTTTGTTTCTTAATCCTGGATAGTTCTCTATAGAAATAAAGTTCCTTGTCTCTAATTTTAGGCCACTCACTTTTCATAGAGTTATTATATTCATCTGCTATATCTCTTAATTTATCTTCATAATATTTTATTTCACTTTCATGGTCTAATTTTTCCATCAATTCAGATATACTATGTCTTCTGTTATCTATAATATCTCTGTCAGATGATTCTGCATCCAAATCATCCGAAGCTCTGGTTTTATAATTTGTAAATCTAATACTAACATTCCCTTTGCTGTCTTGGTAACTTATGAAGTTTTCAGGCTGACTCAAGGTTTTATTTTTTATAAATTCACTAATTGGCCATTTTTCTCCTGCTCTTTCTTCAGAGTCTATTATTAAAGGGCTCATGAATTTTATTCCTTTAGAATGCATTTTTTCTATCACATCATTTACATTGATTTTGTATTTGGAGGCACTTCTATTAGTCAATCTTCCTATAAATTCTATACTTATTAATAAATTTGTTCCCTTAAACTCTTCGTATCCTTTTGTTTGGAAACCAAAACTCATTTTATCTATGAATTCATTTACAGGCATCATTAAATCAGGCGCTATATAGGTTATCAACATATTTTCATTCATATCTCCTTCTAGATAGCCTAAAGATGCTTTGTTTATTGTGTCCCATCTTTTATCTAATAAGGTTATTAGCACTTTAGCTCCTAATTTCTTTCTTGTCATTCCTTTGATTCCTATTATGTACATACCTTGGTGAATATACTTATATCCTGAATATTTTAAACTATTTTCAAATTCTTTAGCTACTATTTTTAATTCTACTGGCTTTGTTAGAACACTTAATTCTACTTCTCTAGATATTCTATAAAGCCCATTCTTATTCTCAAAAAATCCCATGCAGTATACTTGTTGAGGCCTTATTGCCCTTAAAGTATCTCGTTGATATCTTTCGAGCTGCTTATCTACTTGTGCAACATCTTTCAGCTCATCTATGTCATCATATTTGCCTTTTTGTTTATCAGAACAGTTATCATCTCTGCTTGCTATTCTTCTAAAGAGACTCCTAGATATGTCCATTTTTTAGAATTAATGGCTTGTGAAGATGAGATTATGCCAGATGAAGCCAAAACTATTTCCTTACCTTTACTAGAGTTGATTTTGTCTAGTAATTCTTTAATATAATCACTATTCTGTGAAATTTTATTTTGCCTTATCTTATAATCTTCTAATAATTCTAATGTAGTATTTAGCTTATTATTAAGAAAAGAATATTGTTCTACAAATTGCTTTTGTTCTTTATATATATCTTCTAACTTTTGCTCTAAATCTTCTTGTCTCTTACTCCAATTTATATAGAAATTATATATTAAATCTACAATTAAATTTAGTTGGCTATTATTAGAGTGCCAACTATGTTCTTCAGTATGGCTTAGTCTACACCTTATGTTGATATTATCTTTGGTATTTATTAACTTTCCAATATTAGCTTCTAAATTTAGCTTCTCTATGATTACCAGGCTCTGATACCACTTTATAATTAATTCACAACTAAAACCACGAAGACACCATTCAGAGCAAAGCTTCCAAGCGCGCTCTCACCCTCCATTCCATCTTTCTTAGTAGTAGTTCCTCTAGCCTACCTTGCATAATATATATTGAAGCAAGGAGTTGTAATATAAAGGTTTGTAAGGTGAGAAAAACTTGTTTGTATCTACCTTCGGGGTTCCCGAAAGGGAAAACCGTATGTAAGCCTATTTGCTTAATATGAAGTAATTTTCTTTAAGTTTCCCTGTTTGTTTGCTCTAGATAAGCGTTTATGCTAGGGACCCTATAGGAGAAACCTCTCGGATGTTCTCGTTTTTAGCCTGCATCTTGCATAGGCGTCTGGAGAACCAGTATCCGTAGAGAAGTGTTCCCCTCGGGTGGAACTGCCTGGGGAGATGGTAAACGCTTAGCTAGTTCAAATATGACTAGGGATACCTGAAGTTGGTTGCTTAAATAGGCAGATAAGTGAGGCATACGGCTAGTACCGAGTAGGACTTTAAAATTTCTAAATCAAGCGCCGGTTGTTTTTGGATTCGCCACCCTGCAAAGATCCTAAAAATTTAAAGAAAGTTTTCGAGTGAACAGTAACCTGTGAACAGTAGTGAACAGTAATTCTGTACTCATAATAAGTGAATTCAGCACTAAGAATAGTTGTGAATAGTTGTGAATTAATTATATATATATATATATATATGTGTGTGTGTGTGTGTGTGTGGAGCGAGTTATGAGAGTACTTGAGGGAACCAAACAAGAGGTGGTGGCACTGGAAGGCCTTTTACGTTAGTTACCAAACGATCCCATCATGGCATGTGCGCAGTCACGGCGCGGCGCTCGGTCGCACGAACGCACCACGGGCACGCAGGCAGGCAAGGCAGGCAAGCCGATGGGGACGTAGTAATTGGCCTGTGGCCTATATAAAGAAAGATTCCTCCTCTCCAGGGCCAGCCAGCCCCCGCCCACTCGTCAGTGCCAAAACCTACTCGACCACAACGGCGACGACGTTATGTTTAACGTACGTACGCTGCTAACTGTTGCAGGCTAGCTTTCAGTTGCGACGACGCGCGCCATCCTGTTAATGTTCAATCGTTGGGCTTGTTTATATTTTTACCATTCCAATTCATGTTATTATTTGGTAAAATTAATAATTATAGGGCTATATTTAGTTTGTTACCAAATTTTGATAATGTCTATGAAATTTTAACAACATTATATTGAGCACATCCTACTAAAACTTGAAAATATTGCCAATTTGCTAATTTTGGCATTACCAAATTAATGAAATGATTCATTTTAGCGTACGGACCCGTCATGTTATTGTCTTATATATCTCGGCCGCAACAAAAATTTTAATTTTTAAACTTCATTTTAATTTTATCTGAATGTTTTTGTATCGTAGTTTACTTTGATGTTGCATTAGCTTTTAAATCGTTAAGAGCATGGATAAAAAAAGTTTTATTATGTTTATTTGATGTTACTTCGTTCATCTCATATTATCATTGGATGCATCAATTGCAACCTCAGCCAACTCCAATTTTACCTCTCATCATATCAACGGTGACACATGAATGGGAAATATTTTTAGGGTCACTCTTAATATCTACTTGTTGACTTATCAGCCCCAATCAAAATTTGATCTTAGAGTAACTTCTAATGAATCAACATCAAGAGTGGTGTTAATTTTATGAGAATATAGCTGGAGTAAAACCGGGCGGTTAACCATTCTGGATGGCAGACTTTCTGCTGCCGAGGGAATTGAAGCAGTATGAGTATGTACGGGAGAGCTAGCGAGCTGATGAGTGGGAGAGTGCAAGCTGCGACCTGTAGCTAGCTAGCATTGATTTCGATCGGGGGCCAGGATGCTTCGGCATCCGTTTTCCATGGACACTCCCGCAGGCTACAGCTCATGGAGTCACGTGCTCGTGTGCATGCATTGCGGTTAAAGTAACGGGGCAGATTCTTTTAATTTACTAGTAGCCCCCCTCTTTGTTTTTTGTTGGACCAAAACAAAACTAGTCCATCGATGGTTTAATTAAGTAGTAAATTTTTTAGATGCCCCCAACTGATCTTATGCTTGGTGAAAAGAAAAAAAAGATTAAGCAGAGTGCTCTGCTGGAGTAATGGATGAGAGAGAGAGTGTGTGAGTGAGGTGCAAGTGGTGGAGCATCAATCCATCTGAATGTGGGTGGGCAGAGGATGGATGCAGTGCATGGGGCACGTTGGGGGCCTGCTTCTGTGCTGGGTTGCAGCTTCCTCTCTTCTCTCTCGCTAATCCTATACCCTCTCACGCTAATTAATCGCTTCACCACCCTTAATGCACACAGCTTTTGTCAAACATTGTTTTTGTGCACACACATGTAGTAGTACTGGGCTCGTACCACTCCACTGCTACTGTTAGTGCTTGCTATGCTACACCCTACACACACATACAAACACACTCTCTCTCCTCCTCCCCCACTCTATATTAATTACTTCACAACAACCCTTCCTGTTACTGGTGAGCGACTTGGAGCTCTTCAAAGCCCCAGCACTATTTCTCCTCCCCCTTCCTCCTCCTCCTCCTCATGAGCTCCTCCTCTCATCAGTCATCACTACACTCACTTAGCTAGTGGCAAAAAGATAGATAGCTCTAGCTCGTACTGCATCAAACGGGCGGTAGTTGCACTGCCCGTTTCAAGGGAACTCCAGTGACAACCAGCTTCTTGCCAATTCAGAACGTGACCGTGTGGTACGTACGGCCAAGGCAGTGGCTAGCTCGCGATGGCGTCGGAGTGGGAAATGGCCATGGGCGTCGACCTCGGCATGGGGATGAGCACGTACCACAACGCCTCCGGTGGCATCGCCGCCGCGCCGATGATGGGCCACCACGGCGGAGGAGGCGGCGGCGGCGGGTACTCCGCCGCGCACCACCACCACCACCATTACTACGGGATGCCTCATCAGGCGGCGATGGGCGACGCCATGCGCGTCGACGACCTCCTCGACCTCTCCAACACTCCCGGCGCCCACGACTTCTTCCCGGCCTCCGCTGCCGCCGCCGCCGCAGGTGACCACGGGCACCACCACCACCACCACATCGGCGGCATGGGCGAGCCGTCGGGCGCCACGCCGTCGGCCACGTCGTCAGATCACCAGACGTCGATGCTCTCCTTCGCCGACGACTTCTACATACCCGTAAGCACCCTGGATAATTCGAGATCGCACGCAAAGCTAGCCACTTGCATATGCACGCATGCACATACCCTTGTGAATTTTGCATATGAAGTTAGCTAGAGTGCTTAATTTTGAGGCTTGATGAGATCAAACGGGTTTGAGCTGAACAATGGCGATGGATGTGTGTGTTGATGGGGTTCAGACCGAGGACGCTGCCGAGCTGGAGTGGCTATCCAAGTTCGTCGACGACTCCTACTCCGACATGCCGAATTACCAGTCGTCCGCGCACGCCGCAATGGCGGCGGCGGCTGCTTCCGCGGCCAACAACGGCGGCGGCAGCTCGGCCGGCCAAGACAGCTGCCTCACGGCGGCGCCTGGCCGCGGCGCCCGTAGCAAGAGGTCGCGCGCGACGGCCGCGGCCGCCGCCGCGTGGCACTCCCTCGTCCCGCGCCCGCCGTCCCAGTCGTCGCCGTCGTCGTCGTGCTCGTCGTCCGACTTCCCGTCCTCGAACAAGCCATCGGGCACCGCGAGGCCGAACGGCTCAGGAGGCGGCAGCCGCGGCAAGAAGAGCCCCGGCCCCGCGGGGGCGGAGGTGGGCATGGAGGCCGGCGTGCGGCGGTGCACGCACTGCGCGTCGGAGAAGACGCCGCAGTGGCGGACGGGGCCCCTGGGCCCCAAGACCCTGTGCAACGCGTGCGGCGTGAGGTTCAAGTCCGGGCGGCTGATGCCGGAGTACAGGCCGGCGGCGAGCCCCACGTTCGTGCTGACGCAGCACTCCAACTCCCACCGCAAGGTCATGGAGCTGCGCCGCCAGAAGGAGCTCCTCATCATCCGCGGCAGCCACCGCGACGCCGCCGCGGCCGCAGCAGCAGCCGCCGCCGCCGCCGCCGCGGGATCCGCCGCGGCGACCGGGAGGCCGGAGCTCATGTTCCGCGACTACGGCGTGTGCTGATCAAGCGGCGCACGCGGCGTCCAGAGCGAGCCATGCAGGCGCAGCTACGCATCACATCGCATGCATGGATGGATGCATGCACAGCACAGACGCGCGGGCTTAGATCCTTTTGCGAAATTCTCCCGTCTCCCTTTCTCTTGTTTATTTCCTCTCCCTTTTTTTCTCTTTTTTGCCTTATTCCAGATATTTTTCAATGCTTTTTTGTTAATTAATTTGTTGGTACCTACCTCCCTTGCAAGTTCTTCCTCCTCTATGAGAGAGATCAATCAATTCTGTTGGTATAACTATGATTGTGATTAGCCGTCCAAGGCAGGGGCGATTAGTTGTCTCACGTACGTTCGACGTACTAACGTACCTCCCGTTCGTTCGTTAATTCTCCATCTGATCCTTTGCTTTTTCGTTATTTTCTGGTGAATTTTCTCTCGTGGTACTACCAGTACTTGCCCATTGCGTTTGCGCCTTAGTTTCTTCATGGCCATTAATAACTTCGACTCGACTCGATCGACTTCGGTTGCTAGTATATGTGTTTTTATTTCTTATATGAAAAAAAAAACTTTGGGATGGTAGGTCAAGCATTTTAATGGGTGAAAAAGAAAGACGCGAGGTAAGCGGGGAATGGTGGTGGAGGTGGGTGGGTCAGCACGTGACTTGCCCTATCATGGCCTTTTTGGCAGGGGAAAGAGTGGGCAATGGTCCGGTCACGTGACGGTGCTCCCCTCTCCCTCCCTCCTCACTTATTCGCGACGTTTCTAATTTTTTCCCTTTCATTCCTCCTTTCTTTCTCCTTGGTGGGGCTAGCAGCAAGCTGCCACTGCTTTGAGAGGAAAAAAAACTCTCCATAAGAACCTAGGCCGAGTTTACTTTTAAGCTTTTTCTTCAAATTTCTAACTTTTTCATCATATTAAAACTTTTTTACACGCATAAGCTTTCAACTTTTCCGTCATATCGTTCTAATTTTAACCAAATTTTTAATTTTAGCGTAAACTAAACATATCCGGATGTGATATTTTCTAGTACTATGAATCTGGACAGGTGGATAGAACATCTTCGAGTACTATGAGAAAATGTATAATCCGATTTTAGGTTGCTATATTTTGGGATTGAGAGTAGTAAAGCGGAGTGAGCTCGGTGTGGTGTTGGCCATGGAGCTAGCGAGCGTGCTGCCTGCCGACTTCCATGTGGAGCTGTTTGCTTGAGCCGTATATTGTGGGCTGATTATTGTATGCCACTAGTACTACTACCACCCCCGTTACTGTTACTGCTGCCTGCTGCTACTACTAGTAGCACTGAATAATGTACTATTGTAATCATGCATGCATGTTCTCTTCTCTTCTCCGGTGTGCTCGATGCAAAGTCAGACGTCTCTGGTTTTTGCAGATGTGACCTGCGGATATATACATCGGTTGAGGTTTTATCTGCAGGTCGAAGACGAGAAAGAATAAGCAAAGCAACTTGCAGAGGGAGAGGGGGGTAAATAAGCCAACGTGCTTGCTACCGGCAGCAAGTGAGGGGGGGTGGTGGTGACCGGTGACAGAGGAGGCATGCATGGCGTGCAAAGCGACTGTACAGGAGGGTTTCTTGGCTTTACACAAAGAGGGGAGATGGCGAGTGGAGACGACGAGTAGTTATCGGCTGTCACGTTCGCGCGCAGGCCGCGATTTGACACTTGCCCCCCATGCGAAGCGGCGGCGGCCGCAGAGGCCTCGTCGTCGTCCATCGCGCGGGCGCGCACCGACGCGCGCGTCGTCGTCCAGCGTCCAACGAGAGATTGACTTCGCCGGCGCGGTGGCAGTGGCATATGGGTGGTAGTTAACGGGTACTCCTACCATTTCAGGTTATAAGTCGTTTTCACTTTAGTAAAAGTTAAACTATTTTAAATTTAACTAAACTTATAGATAAATGTGTAATATTTATAGAACTATATTAGTTTCATCAAATCAATAATTGAATATGTTTTCATAATAAATTTATCTTAGGTTAAAAATATTACTATTTTTTTTCTACAAATTTTATTAAACTTGAACCAGTTTGATCTTAACCAAAGTCAAAAACGAAGAGAGTAACAAGGTAAGCTGCGTGGCCCGCGGTGAGCTGTGTGGTGACGCCCACACCGTAAGGAGGCCTGGGCCACTACTGCTACTAGTAGTAGCAGGGGAGAGGGGGGGCAGGTCAAGGCACGCATCGGCATCATCATCCATCATGTGTGTGTTCTTCTCCCTGGGAATCCTGCAGCAACCCACCCCAGCTGGGAGCAATCAGACACACAACAAGACGGGGGCCAGTTGGGCCTAAACGACGATGGTAAATGCGACTACCCACTGACAAAAAGCAATTGCAAAGACCACCTTGCCCCACGCCCAAAGGGCCACAAGGCCCACAACCCACCACCAACAGTCCACCACCACACGGTGAATTTTCGAAACGAACCGATAACTTTTTTTAATTTATAGTATGTGTTTTCTTTTTTAAAAAAATTTACAGAAATATATTTGTTTCCAAAAATTATAATTATAAATAAATAAATGCACGAACCGACAGGTAACAATTGTACTGACATGTGTTTGTTTAGCTGCCTCGGACGCTCATTCAGTTCCGTGCCCATTCCTATAACAAAAAAGTTCAGTGCCTATTCGATTTGTTTTCCGTGAAAAATCTTTAGTACTAGTAGTACGTTGTTGAAAAACCATCACTGAAGTAACCAAATCAGGCCTCATAAGTGGACTTTGAAAAGAAATCCAGATGATACAGAACATCCTAAAATGGTTAGGGGCAGGCACACTCCATGCATATCGAACAAAAAATCATTTGACATATGCTCTCGGTTGATTGAGATTCCAAGGACAAATATACAGTCACACGGGTACAGGGCCATTCATCGGTACACGACATTGCAATATAGCATAGGCACATTATGCCGGTCGAGTTGTCCTCAAGTACGTAGACAATGTTATGGCTATAGCTTATTTCAAATTACTAGTACTGTGTCTGTAAATGTTATTCTACCTCGCGTCCTGAGTGTACAATAAAAAGAATCTGATGCCATAAAAGACTTAACAGCTAGCAGCCCTAAATGATGGTGTGGTAGCTGGTGAGAGAAGTTTTTTCTTTCGGAAGGTTGTTGATGACAGAAGTGGTTAATTCTGCCCAAAGGATTTCGTTTAGGTGATAGTAGTGACCAGTGATCAGAGATAGCGGGACGAGCAGAGACAATTAAAGGCCCCACCAACTTTTTTGTACTTAGGAGTATCTAATTAATTAGGTAATTAAGTATAATAATGCTACCTCCACCCAAAAAATACAAGACGTATTTATTTTGAATTAAAACAAGAAAAAAAAATAACTTATCCAACATATAACAAAAATGGACGAGGCTTCTTGACTTACCGCCATCTTTGCCTGTTGCTGCAAAGATTGCTCAACACTGCCATTGCAAGAATCAGAAATACTCCTACCATCTTTGCCTGTTGATATTTCAGTTAGGAGATCATTTTCTTCTGAATCTTGCCTGTCACGATTACCCGGGCTACTTAAAATCTCCTCCTCCAGAGGTGTCTGATAAGAATCTGCACATTTATCTTCACTAACTCTAGTAGTTTGCATCTTCATAGTATATATTTGTTCAATATTGGCAATCATACGTTGTCTTCCAAAATTGTTGCTGCGTGCATTCTCGTTTGGACATCTGAGCTCATTCAAATTAATATTTTATTCTAAGTTATTTTCTGGTTCTACAAGAGAATTGCAGTCGTTCTCTTCCTTGACATGCCTCTTATTGTGAACCATTTCAGTCACACTCTTCAATTCATTTAAAGTTTGGGCAACAACAATACTCCAGCTTCTACTTCATCCTTGATGAAGATCCTGATAAAATGTTCAGCAGATTCTGAACCCAGTTTATCCACCAAGTCTTTAAATGCTACTCCCTTCGTTTCAAAATGTTTGACATCGTTAACTTTTTAGTACGTGTTTGACCATTCGTCTTATTCAAAAAATTTAAGTAATTATTTATTCTTTTCATATCATTTGATTCATTGTTAAATATACTTTCATGTACACATATAGCTTTACATATTTCACAAATTTTTTGAATAAGACGAACGGTCAAACATGTGCTAAAAAGTCAACGGTGTCAAACATTTTGAAATGGAGGGAGTATAATATATATGTCACGCAGCAGTTCAACTGGTAATGATCAACTCATCATTTTCTTCTGTTAGCTTCTGCATCCAGAACAGCCAAATTTCTCACTAAGTCTCTGAATATTTCTGAATGTAACACATGTTGCAGTTAACATCTGATCTCTGAACCAATCTTTTCTTCTATCAACCTCCTCAAGACACTGCCTGCTATCTAATGTCGCAGGCCTTGTTGATGTCAGATATTCAGAACCAGATACCCCGCATTGATCTCTATAACCATTCTATATAAAATATATAGTAATAATATATGTCATGCAAAAAGAGACATCTCTCAAGAGAAACCACATTGGTTTTGATATATTTAACAAATTTCTATATAAACTTGAGCATATTTATTCACATCGTTTTCAAATTATGTTATTTTAAATAATATTTTGTAGTATCGTAGGGATCGTAGAATCGGGATACCACCTAAGATTTCATAGAATCGTGTATTAATAAATAGTAGGATCGAGATACTATGAAAATTAGGATAACAGGTGGGATCGGTATCACTTTAGTTTGGTAGAATCGTAGTATCCTAAGATACTAGGATACGAATCGGAATACTGACAACCTTGTTGTCTATGTGTCACCCTTGGTGTAATTTTTTTTTAGATACACTCAAATTTCTGGCCGTGGATGGAGACACATGTTGCGATCTCCTTCCCCAAGCGGGTGTCCCCCACTAGCCTCCCGTGTGGTGCGTGCGCTGTGTGCGCCTCTGACTCTCCTACTTCTTGGGTCGGACCTGTTAACAAGCATGTATTTTTGCTGTCTAAGATCATAGGAAGATAACCCAGATCAAACAAAAGAAAAACATCACATGCTCGTTTTGTTAAGGCCAAGAGCACAAGAAAGGCTGTGCCCGGATCGTGGGAGGCTTAAACAAGGAAGCTTTGCTCAGATCAAAGGAGGCGAGCCCTAGACACATCACACAAAAAGAAAGAAAATGGAACGAAGCTTGAAGAACAACCAGAAGAAAGAAGGGGACCAAGTAAAGGACATTGATTGATTTCCCAATCCATGATTTCACAAATATTTCTTCCTCTCTGATTTGGCCCCAAACTGATCTGTTGGCTAAAAATAGCGAAAAAAAATGTCAGATGGCAAATTGCAAGGCCAACAAATTCCGCAACATAATCAGGAATTTCGCTATGGGTGTTCACATATATAGGTAGCTAGACCAGTGTGTGCTTTGGAGTATTCAGAAATCACGAAAAGTTTGTGTTGTACTGCTCAAAACCTTCCCAGTACTAATAATTTGAAAAGATTTACTCATTACAAAGACTAGTACATGTGGTTCAGTGTGGCTTTTTCTTCCCTCTATCAATCATTTGGAGTCTCCCCATAGGCGAGAACCCATACCTGAACAAACATACTTAGAGCAAGTATAATAATACTTAGAGCAAGTATAATAGTAGACTATAAACCGGCTAAATGCTGAGTTGGAGGAGAGAAGAGAGTAGAGAGAGGAGAAGCGGCCTGTAAACTTACAGTCGGCTTGTGGCTTGGACACAAGAACCAAGGCTTGTGGCTTGGACACAAGAACCAAGAAACACTGTGAGTGAGACAAGTGGGCCTTGTATTAATTGTAAATAGCTGACTATTATATGGGTAGAGTGAGAGAATGCTAAAAAAACCTTATAGCCAACAGGTCGGATGTATTATTAGCCTTGCTCTTAGGTAACTGTTTCTCCAGAAATTGAGGTACTCAATCACTATTTTGAAAACAGAGATCATAGAGAGGGTACTTAATCACTTCAACTTAATTCATGCCATAAGCCACTAAATACCAAATTATTTTCAGATTCTTTAGAATAAAAGCGAGGTAGCCGCAGCTGGTTCCATCTTCTTCGGTTTCCATAGCTGCCTTAGATACATGCCTTTTTCTCATTTTGCCCCTGCATAAGCACAAAAAAGTCATAGAAGAAGAAATAAATCCATAGAGGTTAAGCGAAAACAACATTCAGTATTGCGCTTTTTAATGAAAGCCGGGCGTTTAATTACGCCTTTCCTCCAAAAAACAACATTCAGTAAAATTTCAGATCATATACACACATGTGAAATTATTTTCTAAAAAAAAAGCTAACAGAACTAGCATTTAATGCACACTATTCATAGCTTCAAAAAAAAAAGTTGCTGATGAGTTTTTGTGCATTTGAAATATAACAGACCACAATTAGTATTTATGTAATATAAAATACTTGCTGAAATTTACTAAGAAAACTAACCTTATAGTTGCTGAAATTTGCTAAGAAAACTAGTATATGCATAGAGTTATAAAAACAGATCATGCATTTGAAATATGAAAAAACTCAATTAGCATTTTTATATAATACAAGTAATGTTAGATGCTGACTAAACTAAGTATTTATTATTAGTAGATGACAAAACTAACATATACTTGCTAAAATGTACTAATAGAACTACTCCTTCTCACTGCTAAAAAATTGAACTCATCTTTACTGACTAACATTTGCTAACAAAGCTAATCTTTTTGACTGGAATTTGATTACAGAACTAGCCTATGTTGACTGAAATGTACTGTCAGAACTAATTATTCTGGGTGCTAACAAAACTATTCTGATATGTTGGTGCCTAACATTGTTAGAGGCACACAAAACTAAGCATTGATTATCTGACATTTGCACATACTTTCAGTGAATTAAAATGACCTAAACAGAACTCTGAAATAATTATAGTGAAAACCCTCCTGAAATTTCTTCAGGCCAAGAACAAAAATAGTGAATTGTGGATACTATGATAGAAATCAAATTGTTGGTGATAAAACCTAAAATCATAAAGTAGTCATCAAGGGGCCTCCCCTTGCTCTAACTCCAGTACTCCACAAAATCCATGTATTGTTAATGCATATATTCAAGCAGGTCTTGTTGATAAAAAAATCTCGAGAATATCAGACAAAAAACAAATATGCCCCCATTGCCAGTACATGAAAATGCACTAATCCTCCCCCAACTCTGTTGCCAACCCTCGGGCCCACATGTCAGTGAGCAGATGATCTGGATTGTACTTGTACACATACAAATCAGGAAAGCACAAAAAAGATAATAGAATCACTAACCTAATAAAAGATCAAATACATCCTCCCCAAATGTATATAGCTTCAGAAACTGCATTATACATCCTCCCCTAATGACATAAAACTTTAGATCGAACTTAATCAACCAAAGTCAACGCACAGCATGACACAGATGACAAGGATCTACTAGCTTAGAAAATGGAAATAAACTATTGCTCACCATCTGGGCCGTAAACATCACATTGCCTAATTTTTAGGAGCTGAAGCCACAGCCGCAACAGCAACCTCCCATCACCTGAAGATTGCTTCATCGCCGGGATGCCTTGTCGAGTCAGCGGAGTACGGAGTGGCGTTGCTGCACGAGAGAAGAATCCTCTGGAGAAGACGAGCGAGGCCGTCGCCGAGAAGAAATCGGCGGAGTTGCCTCCTCCCATCGTCGCCACTCGCCATCGACATTCGACAGCATCACCCACCGTCGAACAAGGGTGGAACAAACCGGATCCAAACCGAAATAGCTTGATAAAAGAAGCACTAATCTCGAAGAGATCGGACGGCTGGAAATTCGAGTGCGAGTTGATCCTCCTCCCTCTCGACTCCTTCCCCTCCTTCGCCCGGGCTGGCGCGATTGTGGCAAGGTGGCGGCCGTGCCACTCCAGATCCGCGCCACTGCTGTCCCCCTCCGAGGTTTGGATTTTTGATCGATGGGGATGGATTCGTCTGGCGATGGAGGGGGCAAGGCCGTGGGGGCTGCGCCGTCTTGGGTGGAGGAGAGCCCTGCCCCGGGCCCCCGGCTCCGGCTTCCGCTCCCATTCCCGCCGGCATCGGCGGTGCAGCAGGCGCCTCTCTGGATCCAGCCGGCAGGTGAAGCGCGTGATGATTTTTAGACTATTTCGTGTTTGATTTGTCGATTTTTTTTATCGAAACATACATGTGATTTCTGCCTGACTGGTTTGTGCTGGTTATGCCGGCACCCACGCAGTGGTCACTCTTATGTTTTTTTTTTTTTGGCATTTTTTATGGGATTTTTTTAGTTTTTTTTTGTTTTTTCGCCTTTTTTTACTTTTTTTTGCTATTTTTTCTGTTTTTTCGACTTTTTAAAATCATTTTATGGACTTTTTTAGATACTGATAGGAATCGGATTTTTTTTTTGGCCGAGTAGGATACCATGTAAAACTGACCCGACCTGATTCAACCCGGTTTTGTTAGTTTAGATTTAACCCGGTTCAGAGATGTAAAATGAACTTATTTCTTAATTGTTCAAGAACAAAAAGGCCTAACCCAGTTGCAAGAAACGCTAACGATGAGCCCATAATAATACCGGCCCAAGGGACCCCTCACAGAAACCCTAGAACCGCCTGATTTTCATCATAAAGACCCCTAGCGCCGCCTCCGTCTTCGCCCTCCGTTGCTCCCCCTCTCCCAGATCCGCCCGCCTCCGCCGCCACTCGCGCCGAATATCCGGCTTCTCAATCCGCGGAAACTACTCCCTGTTGTTCGTCGACCTCTTCGTCGCCGGAGACATCTAGGTTTTCTCCCTCTCTATGTTGCTGTATGTTTGTATGGTCGCCTCAAAACTCTTTTGTAAGTTTCTTTATTATGTGCTCGGTGGCTAATTAGCCAATCACACACTGCGGCCGCCATGGCAGCAACCTTTAACCCTGTGTGAATGGTCAGTAAGCCCACCTACATTGATCCGCTTTGTTGCGTCGATTGGAGGAACGACTCTTCTTGTGCGTGCTTCCTTCATTGATGCATCAACGCACACTGCTATATAATATGACCTAGCTCTAAGTTAAATCCATCCCGTGTTGAATTCGTTTTCTAGGTTGCAAATAAGCTGTTTTAGAAATACTAGTGGGGATCTCCATGACTCACGTATGCATTATTCATTTAGAGTGGAGGGTTAGGGGTACTGACATGAACAAGTGCGGTGACTCGTTAGCCAGTCGCAATATCAAAGCTCTGCCGCTGGTAGTAGGTGGTCACCTATATTTAGTTTTCGCGGTCTGCATCTTGTGCAATGGGCGGATGGAGCAATCGGCAAAATCGGTCCTTCAGGCTGTTGTTGCGAACACTGCTTGCTGCTGCTTTGCTAACAGTCAATACCAAAACAACTCTTTCAATACCAAATCAACTCTTTTTTTTTGTCCCTTTCTCTAAGCAAGTCATCTCACCACACCTGATGTTGTGTGTTAGTTGTGGTGGTAGCATTTTTTCCTGGTAGCGCGCAGCTATACGCTATTCTAAGTCAGGAAGGCGATGGGCATTTAGTTCTAGTTATCTATATGTAGTATGCAGCAGTTGACCTGTTGTTGCTGAGTGGATCATAGCAGTTGGCTTCACCGCATTCATACTTTGTAGTTTGCCTTGCATAGACAATCTGGTACAGCGTTGTATGAACCTTAATGTTCTGGTTTTGCCTTTTGTTATATGTTATTGGACCCATCTCTTTGTGATTTTACTTACAATGTTGATTACGCCTAGAGGAGACATCTAAAAGTTTAAACCTATTCTAGAAAGCTGAAAGTATCAAAATGCCCTGCCTATCTTGATGTTCATTGACCATGTTCCTCCAAACCCCTAATGGAAATGTTCTCATCTCTATAAAGTATACTTCCTCCTTCCCAAAAAGATTCAAATCCTAGGATGAATCTAAACACACATGTGTCTAGGTTCATCCCTAGGATTTGAGTTTTTTTTGGGACAGAGGGGAGTACTACTGAATTTTGATACGTCGAGAACAAGTAATCTTTGTTCAAATAGGAAATCAGGCATAATCGATCGACGGGTTACTTTTTCCGACTGAAGTATCAGTAGTAATCATTATCAGGCTTGTCTGACAGTGTCTGGCATGATGAATAAATTGTATAATTTTTTTTCATAGGATTCACTTGTGAAGTTTTTTTTTTATCATCTGCAGTTTCCCTATACGGCTATACCATGTCGATGCCTGGTGATGCCCAACCTGAAGGTTCTCACCAATCCGCTTCCTCCGCAAAACCTGCCTTGTCATCGTGCCGGAGGAATAAATCTGAGAACACGTCATTTGTCTCAGATTTGAGAGATCACATCCAGGAGTTTATCCATGCTTCCCCGAATGAGCACAGGACCTGTTTTACCAAGACTATCAAGAGAATGTTTGGCATGTCAAAGGTCGTTGCAGAGAGATCCACCGAAGCAAAGGAACCTGGAGCTGAAAGTGTTTTGCCACTTCAGACCACGGTGTCGCGGTAGACTGTGATCAGTAATATAATTTTCTCTGTAGAAAGTAATCTGTCGCTGAGGATGATCTTAGGATAGAGAAGTCATAGTTACACTTGATACCAGTAGATCATGTACAGTAACTGGAGGATATTCTGTATTAATTTGACTGCTAAAAGGCCTATATATATTGTAAGAAGAGAAACTGAGAAGCAGTTCTTTGAATTATCTACACCCAATTGTGCTATCACACTAGAAGAGACATTTCCTCTTCTATGGAATCACGCTGCACAGCATAACACTTTTTTTTTCTTTCTAATCCAATCAAATCTTTTTGTTGCCTATAAAAACATGTCTATCATCTACAATTGCGTCACAAGTATGACCAAGACTGTACAAAGCAGCCTAGCTGATCCAGCAAGCAAGCGCCGCGGCGACGAGCTGGACGTGCCCTGCTCGGAGAGCGAGCTGAGGCTGAACTGTGGGTTGGAGCCGTACAACGCCTGCACGCCCTCGACGTCGTCCACGGTGAGGCGCACCTTCTTCTCCCGCGGCTTGATGCTCGGGTACATGACGGCGCGCGGCGACGCCGAGTGGCCGAGCCCCAGGACATGGCCGATCTCGTGCGTCGCCACGGACTCCAGGTCGATGGCCGACGCCGTCGCGTCGACGTCGAAGTCCACCGCCCAGTGCTCCGACGCGTCGAGGTGGAGCCGCCCGTTCTTTGGGGAGAAGGCGTGGCCGAGGATGCCGAGCGGCCCGTCGAACGGCACGCCGTCGCCGTGGTTGCCGGCGTAGAAGCCCACCTTGATGTCGGCCGCCTCGTAGTCGTCCGTCTCGACGAAGCCCACGGGGATCGTCCGCGCCCACCGCGCGAACGCGCGCTGGAACACGGCACGCACGGCGGCCGGCGGCAGGTAGCCGACGGTGGCCGTCGGCGAGACGGCGTAGGACAGCACGATCGGCGGGTCCGACCGCGTCCATCGCGGCTCGCCCTTGAAGAACGTGAACCGGCTGACCACGCCGCCCTGCGCCCCCGGCGAGAGCGCGACGGACACGGGGCGCTCCACATCGTCATCCCCGACGCCGCAGCGCGGCGACATGATCTGATCGAGCGTGGCGTTGTCGAGCCGGCCGGTGACCGGCAGGCTGAACCTCGTCTGGTACCTCCTCACGGCGACCTCGAGGTGCTCGTCGAAGGCGTCCGTCGTGTCACGCCCCGGCTTCGCCATGTACCCGAACCTCGCCAGGTACCGCTTCAGCTCCGCGAGCCCCGTGACATGGCTCCCTCGCCCCGCGTCGAGCAGCTGCTTGAACGAGTGCCACGCCACGCCGCCGTGCCCGTGCACCACGGGGAGCCCGAGCACCACCACCATCGCCACGGCGGCGACCAGGCACGACGCGGCAGCCGCGCGGCGACATAGGAACATGAGAGCGCGCGCGGCGTGGCGTGGCGAGGGCGAGGCGGCCGGTGTGGCCGTTATTCTCGTTATCGTGGGGGCTCGCGGGGGAGGCAGTGGTGGACGAAGAATTTTATGTGCACACGAGAGTACGAGACGAGAGACAGAAAAAGCTGTGGATAGGGAGAAGTGGGTCAGCCGATGGAGCTCCGGTTGGCCACCGGCTGACCTCGTCGTCTTCCTCCTCCTCGCGGCGGAGGAGAGACGGTCTTCCTCACGTAATCCACTGGTTAAGAATTCAATCTCCTCAACGACGACCAACTGTCGCCGGTCATCGTCGTGACGCGAAAATACCTAACTCCACTCTCTAATCTAATCTATGTACTCCTACTTAACTTGGTTTCGATTTGGGGATAAAAATCCTAATTGGCTCATCACGAAAAAGAAAGAGGATAGGCGCTAATTGGAACCGATCATAAAACAGCAAAACAACAAGCTGCCGTGTGGCGGTAAGGGGTTTGCTTGACCTGAAGATGGCAGGAATCGCAGGGAGAGTATCAGGTTCAACGCGTGTTGGTGTTCAGAAAAAATTGGGGGTCAATTTGTCGAATTGATCACGGTGCTGTGCACAAGAGGGGATTGGATTATGGATGGCCTTGTCAAATGGTGCTTTCCAAGCCAAAACCAAGAAAGCGATTGGACCCGTTTCTCTGCTTGGACCTGGGAGGCTTACGTTTGTGGACAGACCAAGAAAGAGAAGCTGCACTAGCCTAGCCTGAAAGGTACCTTCGAGTTGCGCCATCGCGTTGAACACCAACGCATGGTTTATTTTTCTTTTCGTTCTTCTAGCTACTACTGTTGTACGGTATGTATTTTTCCCTCATAGACATCATTTTTCCATGGAATCATCATCATCCTATGGACTGAAACTACTGAAAACTCTGCAAAACCGAATTAGAATCAATTAACTCTGGATTGCTAAGTTGCGTAGCTCTCTAGTATAGTATAATTAACCAAGTTGAGTTTGACATGGATGATAGTATATGATATAAACGTTTCAGAAAAAAAAAGGAATAACATATCTTGTTTCTGATAGGGTGCTTCACCCATCCATCCAATATGGCTAACATGACAGGATCGTATGTTGTCGCAACACTGCCGTGTCATCGTCTGGTCGATGCCGATTTCTTCGCGTCAAGTGCGAGGTGGTGGTGAGACACGGACGCAATATCTTTCATCCATATCACGCGGGCGTCCATCCGATCGCGACCCGCGCGCACTAGAGCCGTACCAACGGTTTCTCCATGTCATTTTGATTGGTCTGCTTGCTTGCTTCCCTTCTTAATAATCTCCATCACCTTGAATAATAATCTTCTAATTGTAGTACTTGAGTTTTTTTGGTCTGTGCAATTACGCATGAAGGTGTTGATTGTGAGCACGCAATGTGTTGCAGAGTCAGTAAGCTTGCAGGAGTTTGCAAGAACAATGCAATTTGCAGTGTCTCTACGTCATGGCTTGGCTCTGGCTCGTGAGGAGGGGAGATGGATGACTTCTGCTTTGTTTATTCTGTCAACGAGATGATGTCTGGTACAGTGTGTTGGTGCAGGATTCGTTAAAATCTGACATGGGAGAGAGCAGGTATTGTTGATGAGTACGGTTTGGTTTAAGAACAAGATGCCTTTGGCAGGCAGAGGCCACCAGTCCACCAAGCTGGAAGAGCCATGGAGAATTGGAGATGGAGGCTTTGCAGCATCAGAGTTTGCGATTGCACTATCGCAGCCTTCCAAGTCTGGTTGCCGTGGAAGTACACCAACGTTGATGTGCATATTTTGCAGGAGGAATTTTCTGGTGAAGGATGAGAGTAGCTTTTCGATCGACGCATGTGCTGTCACGGTCGCAGAGGAAAGAAGAGGAGTTGCGTCCATCGGCGTCTGGGGCTCCAGCCCACAAAGTGGCAGCTATTGTAGTCACGGCCCATATACGAAGCTTTTAGCTTTGGGGCAGGTCTCGACCAGCATAGCCTTTTGCATTTTACTCCCCCCGTTTTATAATGTAAATTATTCTAGCATTTCGCACATTCATATTTTTTTTATATACTAGATTCATTAACATAAATATGAATCTAGATACTAGATTCATTAATATCAATATGAATGTGGAAAATAATAGAATGACTTATATTGTGAAACGGATGAAGTACTATTTTAGTAAATAGTTTGTACTATCACTGCTCAGTAGAGTTGGATTGTAACAACTGTATTGGCTTTGAAAAATGTTGACACCACACTAGTAAGTTTTGTTTTAAGTTGTGATTTTAAGTTGTGAAATATTTGGTAGGGCAAATTTTAACATAAAACTAAAGCAACCCTTAGAATATATATTCTCCATGGTGAGGCTATGAGAGACGCCGACCAACCTTGGTGAGGCTAGACAGATTCTTCTGTAATGAGGAATGGGACCTTACCTTTGTACACCACATCCTGCATGCCCTGTCCACAGGAACATCTGATCACTGCCCACTGCTCCTCTCCAACCCTGCGGGGCTGCGACGTCCAAGGACCTTTAAATTCGAAAACTTCTGGACCAGGCTACTTGGCTTCAAAGCTGAGGTACAAAACACATGGAACCAGAGCACCATGCACCATGAGCCTTTCCACCGCCTCGCAGACAAATTGAGCCGAACCGCAATGTCCCTAAAGAGATGGGCAAAGGGCATCTGCTCAGAAGCAAAAATCAAGTATCACATGGCGCTCGACATAATTCAGAGGCTTGATGTAGCTCAGGAGCGCCGGGAGTTAACGCAGGCAGAGTACAGGTTGAGACTGGGCCTAAAAAGAAGGCTCTTCGGATTTGCGGTCATCGAAAGAGCATGGAAGAAGCAAGCTGCGCGCTTAACTAATATTAAAGAAGGGGACGCCAATACAAAATACTTCCATCGTAGGATAAATGCAAGAAAAAGGAAAAATCACATCTTCCGCTTAAGGAAGCAGAACGGCTGGGCTGTCACACACACAGAAAAGGAACACACCATTGCAGAACACTTCCGGCAAGTCATGGGAAGACCTGAGCCAAGAGAGTGTGATCTCAACTGCCAGTCTCTAGGGCTCACCCCCGTCGACCTCTCTGGGTTGGACGACCCCTTCACAAAGACAGAGATCCACAAAGCGTTAAGCGAAATGCCTGTCGACAAAGCACCAAGGCCTGATGGGTTCACAGGGAAATTCTTCAAGCACTGTTGGGACATTATCAAAAGCGACGTAGTGGCCGTCTTCAATGCTCTGCACGACATGAGGCACACACACTTTAACCTCCTAAATTCCGCCAATGTAGTGCTCATCCCCAAAATGGACGGCACGGAGGGAATCGGAGACTACAGGCCGATTAGCCTGATTCATGGCTTTGCCAAGCTCTTCTCCAAGGTCTTAGCCATCAGGTTGCGACCACTGATGCACTCGCTAATCCCGACAAATCAAAGTGCCTTCATTCGCGAACGAAGTATACATGACAACTTCATGTACGTCAGAAACATGGTCAGGAAACATCACAGGACTAGAAGGTTGATCCACCTCTTCAAACTTGACATCTCCAAGGCTTTTGACTCAGTCAGATGGGACTACCTCCTCACGCTCCTTCAAAATAGAGGATTTCCACAAAGGTGGCGGGAATGGATTGCGGGCCTTCTATCAACTTCCACTTCCAAGATCATCCTAAATGGTACACCGGGAGAGGCAATAAGGCACGGAAAAGGCTTACGACAAGGCGACCCCTTATCTCCATTGCTCTTCATTCTAGCAATCGACCCACTCCAGCGCCTTTTGGACAAGGCCACTGATCTAGGGGCGATAAGTAAACTGAGAGGAAGGGTTATTTGCTTCCGCACATCCATGTACGCTGACGATGCGGTAGTCTTCATAAACCCACAAAAAGAGGACGTACGAGTTTTCACCGACCTTCTACGTCGCTTCGGGCAGGTGTCTGGGTTATGCACTAATCTGCAAAAGTCCCACGTGGTGCCAATCAGGTGTGACAACCTGGATCTTGACGACATCCTGGATGGCATACCAGTAACCAGAGCAAATCTTCCGATGAAGTATCTAGGACTACCTCTTACCACAGCAAGGCTAAGAAGAGTAGACCTGCAGCCTCTCTTCGACAAATCAATGAACCGCATAGCCGGGTGGAGGGGAAGACATATTGGGCTTGCAGGGCGTTCCACCCTAGTGAAATCGGTGCTCACTTCACAACCTGTTTTCCTCCTGACAGGGCTAAAAGCGTCAAAAGAGTCTCTTGAGGCTCTTGACAAGCAGAGAAGGAAGTTTTTGTGGGCGGGGGGAGAAGCCTTGACGGGTGGAAAATGCAAAATCAACTGGACCCGAACCTGCCTACCCACTGGTTTCGGAGGTCTAGGAATCCTAAACCTTGAGAAGTTTGCAAGAGCTTTGCGCCTCCGATGGCTTTGGCAGGAATGGAAGTCACCGGAGAAAGCATGGGTGGGTTCTGGTACGCCGTGCGATGACACCGATAAGCTCCTTTTTGCGGCAGCGACATCCATAACAATCGGAAATGGGGCGACTGTGAGTTTTTGGGAGTCAGCCTGGTGGCAGGGGAGAAGGATGAAAGATGTGGCACCGCTAGTCTACGCGGTCTCCAAGAAAAAGAATAGTACCCTCCAACATGCCTTGCAATCAGATCAATGGCTGCTCGATCTGGGATTACCAGTGGACGTGGGCTGGACAACAGAGCTGATTGACCAACTTGTCACAGTTTGGACCGCCATCCAGACAATAGAGTTGACAGAACATGAGAACGACCAAATATGTTGGAAGCTCACTAGCCACGGTCAATATACGACAGCATCGGCCTATAATGCACAACTACTTGGAACAACGACCAACAATTTCAACAACCTAATTTGGAAGCCCTAGGCTCCTCGCAAATGCAAAACCTTCGCCTGGCTGGTCATTCAGAATAGAGTCTGGACCTCTGATAGACTATCTACCCGGGGATGGCCAAATGGATCCATATGTCCCTTATGTCGTCGGGTCCAGGAGACGGCTCTACACCTCCTCGCAGGCTGCCGCTACACAAAGAGAATATGGGCGACCCTAGCGGAATGGACGGCGTGCAACAATATTCACCCCAACCATTGGCGGTAGGTTTCGTCGGTGTTAGAATGGTGGGATCAAACCACAAGTGTAAAAGAGGCACCCAAAAAGGCTCTACGCTCTCTAACGCTCCTAGTCGCCTGGGAGATCTGGAATGAAAGAAATCGCAGAACATTCCAGCATAAGGAGCTCCCACCGAGTGGTCTTCTGACAAAAATCAAGGACAAAGCCAAGATATGGGCCTTAGCAGGCGCGCATCATCTGAGAAATTGGCTTGTTCCTTAGTTCACTAGGGCCAAAGGTCCTGAGTTTTTTTCTTTCCCTTTACACTGTACAGTTTTCTCCTTCTATATTCAATGAAATTGGCTGCTCGCCAATTCGTTCAAAAAAAAAAAAATTCTCCATGGAAGACATCTAGGTGAAACCCAACACGACGACCTTTTTTAAAGACTTATTATTCAAGTAACCAACACTATTACCCTTTCAAGAAGAAACAATGTCTAATAAAAATTAATCAAAGCTATGGCAAATCTCTGAATAAGTTATTCAATGCAAGTGAAGCGTGAGACCATGCTAACTATTAACGGCACAGGCAAGACATGGAGGGTAGAGTGGTAGACGTACGAGTCGCCAAAAAAAGGGTTTTTTCTTTGCTGTTTCCTTTTTCTGCTGGATGTGCTGTTCAATTTCCCTTATAGTTTCGACGCGCTTGGGCTTGGAGTCGGCTGTCAAGTCGACACGTGGTGGTTTGGCACCGTACAGCTCCTGGACGCCCTTGACGTCGTCGTCGGTGAGGCTCACCTTCCCCCTGTAATGCCTGTACATCATCGAGCTCTCCGACGACGAGTGGCCGAGCCCGAGCGCGTGGCCGATCTCGTGCACCGCCACCGACTCCAGGTCGACGGCGAGCGGCGGCGCGTCCCCGCCGGCGCCGGCCACGTTCGTCACCGCCCACTTCCGCGCCGCGTGCAGGTGTATCCGCCCGTCCTGCGGCGGGTGCGCGTGGGCGAGCGCCTCCTCGCCGCCGCCCTTGCAGACGCAGCCGCACGCGTCGCACTTGCCGTCGGCTGTGTGGAGGTAGAACCCCACCCTGATGTCCGCCTCCTCGTAGCGCGCCGCCTCCGCGAACCTCAGGGGCGTCACCTCCGCCCACCGCGCGAGCGCGCTCCGGAACGCCTCCCGCACGGCGTCCCGCGGGAGGTGGTCGGCGGTGGCCAACGGCGACACGGCGTACGTCAGCCGCATGTCCGGCCGATTCCACCGTGGTCTGCCCCACAGGAACGTGAACGCCGCCGCGCCGCCGCCGCCGTTGTTGTCTTGGGACCGCAGTCGCGTCGGCTGGGAGCCGGTGCCACAGCCACACAGCAGAAACATCGTGTACGTATACGTGCCGCCGGTGAGTTGCAATACTAGCGTATTGATCGTTGTCACGTAACTAGTTACGATTGATTAATTCTATAAATTAGTCACTCCTGTGTTTTGTTTATAGATATGACACAGGCCGAGTGTGAGCAGAAATCGTTCTGAATAACTAATCCGAATAAAAAAAGCAAACATCGGAATTCAACTCCGTACATGTATTCCATCCGAATAGCATTAGTAAAAGAATAGTACTAGTCTTTTTTTTTTCTTAAAACTTACTCCATTCGTCCAAAAAAAAAAGACAAACCCTGAGTTTCCGTGTCCAAAGTTTAACCGTCCGTCTTATTTGAAAAAATTATAAAAAAAATTAAAAAGATAAGTCACACATAAAATATTAATCATGTTTTATCATCTAACAACAATGAAAATACTAATTATAAAAAAATTTCATATAAAACGGACGGTCAAATGTTGGACACGGAAACTTAGGGTTTGTTTTTTAAGACGGACGGAGTAATCTCTGCTAAATAATGTGGTGGAAACCCTAGTTGTCGCACGTGTTTCCCTGCTTCGCCGCCGTCAGGGTTTAGTTGTCGAGCAATGTTGTTGCTACAGGACAGGGCACTGAAGTGACAACATCGGATCCATATTAGCAGGGCAGCACGACGGTGGAATCATAATTCAATTTCAAAATTCGAACTTAATAATTGGTGAATTGTAATTGACGTAGAATTCTTCTTTCAAACTAAGCATTTACGGTTCAAAAACTAACTGATGTATGTTTTATATACCGTGCAATACAGGGGTTCAGATTCTCTAGAGTTGGCATCAACTCCACCCAGTGGATTTGGGCAAATCTCATCCATCGTTTTATTTCTACGGTTAAGATCCTAATTGACTCCCTTAATTGATGCATATTTGGATCTTTCTTTTCAACTGTTCTATTTCCAACATAATCAAGAAAATAAACGTAATTAATCTTGTTCCTGCAATTAATAGACCAACATAGAAGAGTTTTTCAGTGTAGAGAAGAGTGATATCGTAGATGGTGAACATGGACAGCCTTGCGATGGTGCAGAAACTAGCTCTCCGCCTCGAATCAGAGCTCAGGGCAACTGGACAGCTTACTACAAGCAAAGCCATCGCTAGCGCAAGCAAGTAGCAACATGTACGTACATCATGTCGAGCTCCTTGATGCTGCTGTACAGCTCGCTGATATAACCTATCATAGAGTCCTTGTTTACAAGCTTGACGAAGGTTTACATAAAAAAAGTTTGATGAAGGTAAGATCAAAAGTGGAAGGAACAAATTAAGGATAGGTTGAGCTGCATTGATTTAATCTCAACCGTAGGTGATAAATTATGGCTGAGATTGGCCCAAATCCACCGGATGAAGTTGAAGCCAACTCTAGGGGATCCGAACCTGCAATACAGGGGTTGGTGACTAGCATCATTAATTAATTTGCTAATGATTAATATTTGTAAAGTTGGATGGTTTTATCCACCTAATTTTACCGGATGAGTTCATCCATCATCATTGTGAAATATTTTCACTCTCGGCTATCCCATCCACATTTACTCATCAACTAATTACACTCGAAAATTAGTGAAAAAAAGATAATATATAATCGGAAAACGCCGGGATCGGATCGGGCGCTCGACGCGCGCCAGAAAAATTGGACGCTGCGCGCGCCCGCCGCCCATGTGCCGCCCCCACGCCGTGCTTCCCACGCGCGCCCCCCGCCATGTGTGTAGTGCCGATCCCGCCACGTGTCCCCACCACGCACGTCGTTGCAACAAATCACCCATATATTATGGAAGCCCTCTATTAAGGGAATCCGTTTCACTTTTTTTCCACCAAAAATATTTCACCTAGTGTATTCATAATGTTTCACTATGTATGGATCAAATGTTGCAGTGAATTGAAACACTCTTTCGCTATTTGCTGAAATTTTTTTTTATATAGGGTGAAACAACACTTGATTTTTTTGGAAAACCGTTATTTCATACGTTGTAGCAAAATATTTCATGAGGTCATATGGTTATGTTTCAGCTTTTTAAAAGACTAAAATATTTCTATCTGTTTAGTGAAACATGTTTGATCTACTTGGTGAAACAGTGCCCGAAAAAAAATTGGGCGTCCAATTTGTAGGCGCCTCGTATATAATTTGATTCTTTTTTCAATAAAAGAATGGTTATTAAGTACCAATAGTCAAAGCTAATTCAATATCTAAAGAAGTTTATTCAATGAAAGTGGGAGTGGGATCATGGTAACAATTACGGCACAAGTGAGAGCTAGACCACGTTGCCAAAAAGAGCTGCCGCGAGCTTTCTTCTTCTTCTCTTTCTTCATCTGTTGGATGCGCGACAAGATGTCCTGCTTGAAGTAGGCACCGAAGCTGAAATGTGGGTTTGCCCCGTAGAGCTCCTGGATGCCGTGGACGTCGTCGGTGGTGAGGCGCACCTTCCTCTCCCTGCAGCTGATGAACGGGTACATCATCGAGCTCCTCGACGACGAGTGGTCGAGGCCGAGCACGTGGCCGATCTCGTGCGCCGCCACCGACTCCAGGTCGACGGCGAGCGGCGCCGTGTCCGCGGCCAGGTTCACCGTCCACCTGTGCGCCGCGTGGAGGTGGATCTGCCCGCTCTTCTCCGGCATGGAGGAGTGAGCGAGCACTCCTTCACAGTCGTCCCCGTCGTCGTCGTCGTCGTCGCTGTCGATGCAGGCGCACCCGTCGCACCGGCCGTCGGTGTAGAGGTAGAAGCCGACCTTGATGTCCGCCGCGTCGTAGCGCTCCGCCTCCAGGAATCTCATCGGGATCACGTCCGCCCACCGCGCGAACGCGCTCCGGAGCGCGGCTCGCACGGCGCTCGGCGGGAGGTGGTCGGCGGTGGCCGTCGGCGACACGGCGTATGTCAGTACCCTGTCCGGCCGCGTCCACCGCGGCTTGCCCGGAAAGAACGTGAACGGGCCGGCGCCGCTGTCGTTGTTGTTGTCTTCGGGCCGCGGTTGCAGCGTCGTCGTCATCGTCGTCTGCGCCAGTGCCGGCTGGGTGGCGGTGAGACGCGCCACATCTCCGCTTCTACACAGAGACATCATCGCGCGTACGTACGTGCCGCCGGCGGCGAGGTGCAGCGCATGCAGTACTGATGTGCCTTCACTTGATCGTCCGTTACGTAATTGGGTACGATTGATTTTGCTATATGACAACACCGAACGCCAATGTTTGGACGTTTTTCCGAGCAAAATTCACGTTCCGAGTAGTATTATGAACGCCAATGTCTTACACAAATCGTAACTCATAATACTACTCTGACTTGTATGTTCTGAGCAAACACCAGAATTACACACGTGTTCCATGTTTTATCGGAATAGTATTGGCAATTGGAACTAGTAGTTTGAAATTACATGTATGAGGAGTCATAATCAATATTGATCTAGTGCTAAACGTTTTTCACAACTGCCTGCAACAAAAGACTAACGAGGCAATTAACCATCCTTAAGAATAAAAAGACTTAATTTCCCTAACTTAGAGGGGGCACAAGTAAGGCCTGGTTTAGTTCCCCAATTTTTTTTTCCAAAAACATTACATCGAACCTTTAAACACATACATGGAGCATTAAATATATATTAAAAACCTAATTGCATAGTTAAAGGAAAATCGCGAGACGAACCTTTTGAGCCTAATTAGTCTATGATTAGCTATAAGTGCTACAGTAACCCACATGTGCTAATGATGGATTAATTAAGCTCAAAAGATTCGTCTCACAGTTTCCAGTCAAGTTATGAAATTAGTTTTTTCATTCGTGTCCAAAAACTCTTTCCGACATCCGATGAAACATCCGATGTGACACTAAAAAATTACTTTTCGCGAACTAATTTCCCTAACTAGAGGGGCACAAGTAAAAAGACTTAATTTCCTAATTTTGAAGAGACCACAGAATTAGATAACATAATAGTTTAAACTTGTTTAGTATTCTGTGACACGGATAAACACGTTGTGGCAATAGCATATCAATTTTTTCCCTGCCAATATAAGAGCTTCTTCTAGTACTACTACTAGTTAACATGCAATCTAGATTTTTTTTTCTAGAAAAGATAATTGCTTCTTTTCATAATGTGATTAATCAGAGTTTGTGCAACGGTGCAACCCCTAAATACAAGGTCTCCAGCATAGATTGGAGCATGCTCTCACCATACTGCAGATCAATGACTAGCTAGCTAGCTAGAGCGGCAAAAGTAAGATGCAGGCTATACCAAGTCGCCAAAAACGACTCCTTGGGGTGTCATGGTCCGGCTTGAAGTAGTCTAGGAAGCTGAAGCTTGGGTTGACCCCGTACAACTCCTGGATGCCTTCCACGTCGTCCACAGTGAGCCGCACCTTCCTTTCCCTCGTGCCGACGTACGGGTACATCACCGAGCTCTCCGACGTCGAGTGGTCGAGGCCGAGGGCGTGGCCGATCTCGTGCGTCGCCACCGTCTCCAGGTCGACGGCCGCCGGCGACGCGTCGGCGGCCAGGTCCACCGCCCACCGCTCCGCCGCGTCGAAGTCGATGCGCCCGTCCTCCGGCCCGGTGGCGTGGGCGTACACGTTCAGCGGACCGTCGAACGGGTGCCCGTCGCCGTGCTCGCCGGCGCCGTAGAACCCCACCCTGATGTCCGCCTCCGCCGCCGCCGCGTCGTCCTCCGTCGTGATCTCCGCGAAGCTCACCGGGATCACCTCCGCCCACCGCGCGAACGCGCTCCGGAACACGGCCAGCACGGCGTCGCCCGGGAGGTAGCCGACGGCGTCGGTGTGGGACACGGCGTACGTCAGCACCATTGGTCGTCCGTGTCGCGTCCACCGCGGCTTGCCCGTCCAGAACGCGTACCGGCTGACCACGCCGCCGTGATGGCGCAGCGTAGGCGGCGGCGGCATTGGCCGTGCGTCAGCGACGGCGACGCATGAGAGGATGCAAGCTATCGCCAGAAGCAGGAGACACGCAGCATCTCCGCGGCGACGCGGGAACATGGTCGGCTGTTATTCTCGTTATCTGTCGGACTCTCGCCGGATTTGATCGTCGTCACGTCAACGGGCTACCATGAACTGAAGATTGACACCTATGCTTGATTTACGGACTCCAATGGTTTGCTTCTAAAAGGCCTGAGTTGGGATCATGGGAAATTATTAAAGTGTACTAGTATAATAATATTATAACTACTCTATAATCACAATATGATTTATATGTGTAACTCGTATAGAATTCTGAAAAACATGTTCATATTGGATTGACTAGCTCTAGAAGCTCTTAAATCTGAGATCGGGTGTTCGACTCCCACTAACGCATAGTCGTGCAAAATTCGAACTCCCGCTAGCTTATGGTTGTGCAAATTTTTTTTCCTCCCCTCTCACGAATCTCGAGGCAACCAAAAGATCACAAATTTGAAACTTCTGTGGAGAAAAAACGGGTTAAAGTTATTTAGCAATTCCATGAATCATAAGCTTAAAATACTACCCAAACATGTTCTAACTTCGGACAACCGATCTAAACTAGTTAAGTCCTGTACTTGATACACGTGCTCACATCAACGGCTATTTTTTCACTGATAGATGATATTAACAGCGGGACGTCCGTGATAACTTCGTATTCCGGCCAAAATAGTACTGGCCATTGGCACATCAGCAACTGGTACATAGAAGAGAAAAAATCAAGTGCTGATTATTTCTTGGTACAGAAGATCCATGTTCTCGACCACTAAATCTTCATGCCCTCGACGTTAGCCCTTCCGTCAAGTTTGGCCGAGAAGAAGCGCTTCATGAAATCCTCGTAGGCCATCGACTTGTACACCGGCCTGCCACCGTCCTTCGTCACGAGCTCCGGCAGAGGCCCGACCGTCGCGTCCCGGCACGCCTGGTGGAACACCGCCGCCGAGATGCGCTCCTTCTCCGGGTGCACCACGGCCCTGTGCTCAACGCTCCTGTACCTCCCATTGCTCAGAATCTGCAAGCAGCAGCCATGTTGGTAGATGATTAAGCTAGAAACTCTGTACTGGTGTGCACCAGCAATTCAACATCGATCAGCAAAGAAAAACTGTTTCGGTTTCAGATCGACGCATCAGGTGAAAGCCTGGTCAATATTTTACCTCAAGCATGTCGCCGACGTTGACGACGAACGCGCCGTCGAGGGCTTCGATGGTGAGCCACTTGCCGTCCTTCCTGATCTGGAGGCCCTGCATGTCGTTCACATGGAGCAGCAGCGTCAGGCTGGTCGCGTCGCAGTGCGGCGACAGGCCGAGCACCTTGCCGGTTTGCCTGCACGGCGGGTAGTAGTTCACCCTCATGTTCTGGGGCTGGCCTCTGAATACCTCCAGGAGAGACTCCGGATCAACGCCCATGTCCATGGCCAAGAACTCCAACAGGCAGCGTGCTACTTTTGCCGTCTCCAAGGAGTACCTCTCCATGGAATTCCTGTCAAACATTTGTGTTGTGATATGCAGCAAAATGGCTCATTGGAACAAGAGAAGCCATGAACGTTCAGACTGAAAAACTAAACCTTGGAAATAAAAAAAATTGTTCATTTCTTGGTTGAAATTTCTCAAAACTACTTATTTCCCATAGTCATGATCAATGCAAAGATTAGTTGTGGTTTTGTTTGTGAGGCAGACCTGAAAGATGAAGGATGGGCAGGCCAGAACCTCAAATCCCTGGACTCGGTTGGGCGAAGCCGGAGGTGTAGCAGGTCTCCCCAGTCCAGCTTCTGCTTCTCTGAAACGACGAAGTGCTGGCCATAGCCTTCGTACTTGTCTGGTGGTTTAGCGTACGCCTCCTTGGCTTCAAGTGGTAGCTTGAAGAACTCAGTTAAGTCTCTCCTCACGTCGCTGATCACATCGTCAGGCACCCCATGGTTGACGAGCTGCAGTTTAATTTGTGAGATCAATCACAGTTTATCCTACTTAAATCAGTGTCACCTTGTCCAAATTTGAAAAAAAACACTATTTAATTCTCTCCCACATGGTTTATTGATCATTCAGTTTAATAATAGTTGTATCACCTTGTGAATCATCAAAGTAAAAGCTTGATTACATAATCTTGACGTACCTGGAAGAAACCCCAGTGCTGACATGCAGATCGCAGCTTGGCACACTCCTCTTGGGATGACTGCGGGTTGAGCAGCTTGGCGAGATCGATGACCGGGATTGCCGTGTTGATGCCTTGGCCGCAGATGACCTCTTCGGTGCCAGCCTCCGGCCTGATGTACCTGTCAGGTATCTGCTGGTCAGGTCGGTTGCAAGTCAGTGCGAGTTCCTGCACATTTGGCACCTGTAGAGACATGGTTAATCTGGTTTTCTCTTGCTTGCTCTTCCCACTGTGCTGATGATGATTACTTCATGGATTCTATATATATGGAGGTAGCACTGCACATGTGGTCATCAGTTCATCACAAAACTTTCCTTTCACAAAGTTTGAAAAATAACTATGTGCTCTTCTTTTGCAATTTTCATCCATCCTTTCTCCAAAGTCTTACAGAAATGGTGCACGGAAATATCTTGATAGCTCCTTGCAAGACTACAAGATGCCTTGGAAAAAAATTTTCCCCACAATGGGTGGTCACAAAGCATCCCCCCCCCCACCCCCCGCGCACGTGCACTAGCAATGAATATTGCAAACCTGCTGTTGTTTTACACACACAGAGAGAAATCTTTAAGCATGATCCGAACAAAAAAAGGAATTTATATTGACAAGAGCTTACTTTTTTACATGCCTGAAAGAATTCCTGGCTCTGATAGCCAGATCCCAGACTTCCACACTCCTTAGTGAAATCAATGATAACAATATCCTCGGCAGTCCGCACTATCCTCCACAATGATGTGCCCCACAAGTATATGTTCATATTTTTGCTGAGCCACGAGGGCGGGAGATCAGATCCATGGTTCAAGAGACTGTCTGCACATTCTAGATCAAATTAAGTCCCATAAATTAAGTACAAAATTACATATAATACTCACACGTGTTAAACAATTGGCAATCTCATCAATCTGACTTGTGCAAAGCATGTCCATATCACAAATCCTTGGTTTGCCAGAAATAACGGTATCAACCTGAAACCAAAGATGAACTTAATTATTGTACTTATATTTTTTCCGGAGCAATAAAGTAACGCCGACCAAAATTATTTAGATTAAAGGACTGGTTAAAGGTACAAGGACAAAGGACAACAACCATTTTTGCTGCAAAAAGGGGCACACTTGCAAAAGGTGTTCAGGCCTTCAGCCTTAGCTTGTAGTACCACCGATTAACAGTGCCAAACTGGATCTAACACGTTGCCTTTGTTACAGAGCACACCAGGAACACCACTTTACAAACAAACAAACCCAAGCAGCTCATAGTAAAATCAAGATATACTACTATCCACAAGATTAAAAAAAGGATACTCCTGCAAGTTTTTTCCCCTCTGAGAAGCTAAGGGGCAATTATGGATTTAGCGCTGCAACCGTACAAAACGTATTATAGCTTCACTAATGATCAACCCTGCGCATTATTCCTAGTTTTCCTAAATCAGAAACGGGTAATTTCATAATGTGCCAGAGAAAGCGAAGAAGTAGAGCAGCGGGAGCAGAATCACACCTCCAAGGCCCCGACGCGCACGGACTGAGGGGTACTAGCAGCCGTCGATGGGGCTCGCCGTGGAGCCACCTCTGGCACTGTCAAGATCAAGGATCAGAAATGCTAAGTCTGTAGGAGTTTTAGAAGAAGTTCAGAGTTAGTCCCAGCTCAGTCCAGAATCAAGTCTGAAGAAGAACAAGTTGAGGGTTATGAAGATCCTATGGCTGAGATTACTCGCGAAGGGGTATTAGGAGTATCTGACCGTTAATAGTTGTCGGGGTCCACTGTTCTCTTTATTTTGTCATTTGCTTTCGTCAGCTGAATGAGCTGTAACTTATCTGTAATGGGAGTTGTGGTCCTCACCGATGTAATCTCCTTTAAAACTCTATGTGAGATGAAGAGAAAAGGCATCGAGAATCATAATTACTTGTCCTAGGAGTAGCTTAGTTAGAACCCTAGTTCTGTTCCTTGCGGCGGCCACTTAAACTGAAGAATTGGGTTCCGATCGAATTTGGGACTTTCTCCATTTCTACTCCTAGGATCTGACAAGGGTATCAGAGCATAGTTGATTTCTTGGCTCTTGGATCGATCTGGTGAGGGTTGGTGGAAGGCGGTGGTGGAATCCACCGTAAAATTCCTTAAGCCGGCGAGATCCAAACCGGAGGGGAGAGTTAGGGCAGGGATTGAGCAAGGGTTGGTGAGCCATCCTGCAAAGGTGTGCTCCTGTAAAATCTCCGAAGCTCATCTCTGTTCTTGGCGGCGGTAGATCGATCTGTGAGGCAAAAGGGGAGGAATTCTTTCCGAACCGCCCTTGCAGAAAGCTGGATGGTTACTAAGACTCATTCCAACGAGTCGATAGTTGATATGGAGGAGATGAATGAATTTAGATTGGATGTTGCCAGCTTGAAGAAAGATGTGGCGGATCTGAAATCACTGAAGACTGAGATGAGGGAAATCAAGGGATTGCTGAGGGAGCTATGCAAGCAGAAGAATATTGAAGAAACGGAAGGGGAAAAAGGGGAAGCTACGACTCAACTACCTCAGGACAGGACAGTGGCGCAAGCTGCTGATGGTGCTGGACCTAGCAATCCAAATGCTGAGGTACGTGTCGCCATTGAGACCACTACTAATGCTCCAAATAATGAATTGGTGAATCTATGGGCCACGACTGGAGGAGCTTCCAGGGGAAATGGACATGCAGGACAACCCACACAGCAGTTCTTTACTGATCATCAGACAAGACAGAATATGCAAGGGGGTAATGTGGGAGGTCACCAGGGTTTCACTCAGGGGACAGGCATGTTTCATGGGAATTCTAGGGTGCATGTCATTGACCCTCAGAGGAATATGTATGGTGGAAATGGTAATCATTATGCAGAGGCAATCATCAAAGGGCCTAGACTGGAAATTCCACTGTTTGGTGGGGAAGAACCTGTGGACTGGCTGAAGCAATGTGAGAAGTTTTTCGAGATAACTGGGACTCCTGTTGATCAGTGGGTCAATTTGGCATTAGCACATTTGCAAGGGAGAGCTATAAAATGGTATAGAGGGATTGGCATACCTTGGCAATTAATATCATGGCCACAATGGTGCGCCATGGTGTGCACTCGGTTTTCAGCTGCTGATGTACATGAAGCAGTTGAGCTGTTTCAAAATGTGAAACAGCATGGGCAAACTGTGGATCAATATATTGACAAGTTTGAGGAATACATGGACCTGGTTAAAAGGGATCACCCCTACTTGCAGGAGCAGTACCTGAATAGTTGCTTTATTGGGGGATTAAGAAATGACATTAAGCATGATGTGAGTGGACACAAACCACAGGGACTACTTGAAACCTATTGGTATGCCAAGAACTATGAAAAGGCTGCCAATGCTAGGAGGATGACAATGGGTTTGAATAGGAACAGGCTTCCAAACCAAAATGTGATCAACCAAGGTAGAAACTTTGCTAACAAGGTGCCACCCAAAACCAATGGGGATAAGAAGTGTTGGTTTTGCAAGGAAGTTTGGTTTCCTGGGCATCAATGCAAGGTCAAGAAAGCTTTGAATGCTTTAATGTTAGAAGATGAGGAACTAGAAGAAAAAGGGGAAGAAGAAAAGGAAGTAAAAACTAGAGAGATGACCCAAGAAAATGGAGAAACTTCTCCTGATGAAAGTGGTACAGAAGAGTTGATGTATGTATCCCAGAATGCTATGCAAGGTACTACTCGGCCTGACACTTTTTCAATGATTATACAGATACATGGAAAGAGAGCAATAGGGCTGGTAGATAGTGGAAGTACCAGTACTTTTATGGATGAGGAGTTTGCTTTACGTAACAACTGTCCCACAATTAGTACGGAGGTTAAGAGGGTAGAAGTGGCTGGAGGTGGAGAGCTGAAATCAGGAGTGCAGGTTCCTGAAACCAACTACCAAATCTAGGGAGAGACCTTTTCTAACAGATTCAATTTAATTCCATTGAAGGGCTATGACATCATACTGGGGGCAGACTAGATATATAAATATAGTCCAATTACCCTTGATTTGAAGAAGAGAGAATTGGGTATAACCAAGGGGGAAAAGATGATTGTATTGCAGGATTTTTCACACCCTGGAAACCACCTATTAGCAAGCAGCAAGAAAGTAGACAAGATCATTAAGAAAGGGGGGTTAGGTTACCTGTTCTAGATTACTCAAGTGACAGATGTAAGTGAAGAAGATGCAAACTCTGGTATTCCTGCTGATATTCAAACAATACTCCAGGAATTTCCTACTGTACTTGAAGCACCAAGTGGTCTGCCACCAAGAAGGAGTTGTGATCATGTCATCAGTTTGAAGGAGGGTGCAACACCTCCAAATTTGAGGCCTTACAGAGTACCCCACCATCAGAAGGAAGCAATGGAAAAGATTATTGCTGAACTGATAGAATCCAAGGAGATTCAGGTTAGCAATAGCCCTTATTCCTCCCCGGCTGTTATGGTAAGGAAGAAGGATGGATCATGGAGACTTTGTGTAGACTACAGGCAATTAAATGCACAGACTATCAAAAACAAGTTTCCAATGCCAATCATAGAAGACCTGTTGGATGAATTGAATGGTGCCAAGGTGTTTTCCAAATTGGATCTAAGATCAGGATACCACCAAATTAGGATGTCTGAATCTGATGTTCCCAACACAGCATTTAGAACTCATTTAGGCCACTATGAGTATCAAGTGATGCCATTTGGTCTAACTAATGCTCCTGCAACCTTCCAATCCCTGATGAACCAAGTGTTGGCACCTTTCTTGAGGAAGTTTGTATTGGTATTCTTTGATGACATCTTGATATATAGCAAGAATAGAGCTGAACATAAGCAACACATCAAATTTGTACTAGAGGTACTGAGAGCTCATGAGTTAGTAATCAGACCTAAGAAGTGTGCTTTTGGGTTATCCAGTGTATCATATTTAGGGCACATTATCTTTCAGAATGGAGTGGCTACAGATCCCAGTAAAGTGGAGAAGATTGCTAATTGGCCTATTCCTAAGAATGTTACTGATCTCAGAAAATTCCTTGGAATAACCGGATATTACAGAAGATTCATCAAGGGGTATGGATTAATATGCAGACCTTTACATGACATGCTCAAGAAAGAGGGGTTCCAATGGGGTGAAAAGCAAACTGAGGCATTCCAGGAACTGAAACAAAAAATGTGTAGCAGTCCTGTTTTGACCTTACCGGATTTCACTAAAGAATTCACTATTGAGGCCGATGCCTGTGGAACTGGCATTGGTGCTGTACTCATGCAATCTGGAAAGCCTATAGCATTTTTCAGCAAATCATTGGGACCTAAAGCTGCAGCACAATCGATATACAAAAAAGAAGCAATGGCAATTTTGGAGTCTCTTAAGAAATGGAGGCATTATATCCTGGGAAGCAAGTTAATTATCAAAACTGATCAGCAAAGCTTGAAACACATGATGAAACAAAGGTTGGTTGAAGGTATACAACACAAATTACTCCTGAAACTGATGGAATACGACTACTGTATTGAATACAAGGCTGGGAAGGAGAATGTGGTGGCAGATGCTCTATCCAGGCTACCACAGGGAAAATCAGAAGAGGAACAATGTGATGCCATTACAGTAGTGATACCTGATTGGATCCTGGACATCCAAAGAAGTTATGAGGGGGATATACAAGCTCATAAGATTCTGAGTATAATAGGAACTGACAGTGACCCTGATCAGCAATATAGCTTTGGAATTTGGAATCCTAAGATTCAAAGGAAGGATTTATGTGGGGGAAGAAACATCCATTAGAGCTGATTTAATCAGGGACTATCACTGTTTGGCTTTTGGAGGACACTCAGGTATGAGAGCTACTTATCACAGAATTAAGTCTTTATTTTACTGGCTTGGACTGAAGAAGGTGGTGGAACAATTTATTAGAGAATGCCCTGTATGTCAAGTTACAAAAGCTGAGCATGTTCATATCCCTGGACTGCTGAATCCTTTAGAAGTTCCTGATATGGCTTGGACACATATTACCATGGATTTCATAGAGGGGCTTCCTAAGTCAAAAGGAAAAGATGTGATTCTGGTGGTGGTTGACAGATTAACAAAATATGCTCATTTTCTTGCTCTGACACATCCTTACAGTGTGGAGCAGGTTGTGGAGGTTTTTATGGATAATATACATAAGTTACATGGGATGCCTATGGCCATCATTACTGACCGAGATAGAATATTCACCAGTCAATTGTTTCAGGAAGTGTTTAAAGCAATGAAGGTCCAGCTGAGGTTTAGTACTGCATATCACCCTCAGACAGATGGTCAAACTGAACGGGTTAACCAATGTCTTGAATCGTATCTAAGGAGTATGGCATTTCAGGAACCACATCAATGGTATTCGTGGTTGGCCTTAGCAGAGTGGTGGTATAATACAACCTACCATACATCTTTACAGATGACACCATTCCAAGCTATGTATGGGTATCCACCACCCCAAATTAATGAATTTTCAGTGCCTTGTAATGTTTCTGCTGAAGCTAGGGTCACTACTGAGCAAAAGGAAGCAATATTGCGAAAACTCAAGTCAAGCTTAACTGAAGCACAGAGGAGAATGAAGCATTATGCAGACAGAAATAGGTCTGAAAGGAGTTTGGCTGTGGGTGATATGGTTTATATTAAGCTACAGCCTTACAGGCAAACTGCCTTCGGCATTAGAGGCTCCTTGAAACTGAGATCAAAGTTTTATGGTCCCTTCAAGGTGTTGGAACGTGTGGGATAGGTGGCATATCGATTACAGTTGCCTGAGGATGCTAGCATACACCCTGTTTTTCATGTGAGCCAACTGAAGAAACACCTAGGGAAAAGAGCTGTTCCTATGTCGAATCTTCCTTTGGTTGGTCCTGATGGGCAAATTAAATCTGAACCGGTGGCTGTACTTCAGAGAAGGATGGTTCCTAGGGGTGGTGTTGCAGTGACGCAGTGGTTGATTTTGTGGGAAAACTTAAGCCCAGCAGATGCAACTTGGGAGGATGCAGCAGTGATACAGAGTATGTTTCCAAATTTCCATCCTTGAGGACAACGATGATCTCAAGGGGAAGGTAATGTCAAGATCAAGGATCAGAAATGCTAAGTCTGTAGGAGTTTTAGAAGAAGTTCAGAGTTAGTCCCAGCTCAGTCCAGAATCAAGTCTGAAGAAGAACAAGTTGAGGGTTATGAAGATCCTATGGCTGAGATTACTCGCGAAGGGGTATTAGGAGTATCTGACCGTTAATAGTTGTCGAGGTCCACTGTTCTCTTTATTTTGTCATTTGCTTTCGTCAGCTGAATGAGCTGTAACTTATCTGTAATGGGAGTTGTGGTCCTCACCGATGTAATCTCCTTTAAAACTCTATGTGAGATGAAGAGAAAAGGCATCGAGAATCATAATTACTTGTCCTAGGAGTAGCTTAGTTAGAACCCTAGTTCTGTTCCTTGCGGCGGCCACTTAAACTGAAGAATTGGGTTCCGATCGAATTTGGGACTTTCTCCATTTCTACTCCTAGGATCTGACAGGCACGACGCAGTTGGTGAGGCCATCAGGTGCTGGACCTGCTGGTGCGCCGCCGCCGGTAGCCGCTGGCAGAGGGGCACAGGGAGACACAGCTGGGTTGTGGTAGGTTTGAGCTATTCCATGGGCCATGGATAGTGGATTGGGCCGCCTGTGGAGGCCTGGGAATGGGAGAAGCCCAGAGGAAGCTGTGGACATTTTGCATTTATGCCCCTCTTCGCTGTCTTCGGAAGGAGGATAATTGCAAAGGAAGCTCTTTATAAAAAAAAATAATGTGTTTAGGGCCTGTTTGGTACAGCTCCAACTCCTAAATATAACTCCAGGAGTTGAGTCTGGAGTGGAGTCGTGGAGCTGCCTAAACCCAGCTCCACAACTCCAGTACATTTTGTGAGAGAGCTCCACCCAACTCCACTCCTAGTTTTGGTGGAGCTGGAGCTTTTGGTGGAGCTAAAACTGTTTAGCTGGGCTCTAGCTCTAGGAGGAGTGGAGCTGGAGCTAGAGCTGTGCCAAACATGCCCTTAAATTTATAGAAAGTCTTTACATTGTGAAACTTAAATTTATAGAAAGTCTTTACATTGTGAAACGGAATGAGTAGTATAGTACTACCGGCTTTCTTTGTCTTGCCTGCTCTTTGGACAATGGACATGCTGAGCACCAGTCAGGTCAGTGGGAGGGGTCGGTGAATAGTTGGATTAAATGAAGAGTGCGAGGAAGCATCAATGTGGATTGAGACATGATTATGTTGCTAATACACATGTCTATGAAATGGAACACACTCGATGACCGTAAGAATTTTTTTTTAGAGAAGGGTATATTTTACCCGGCCTTTACATTCAACTGGATGTATATATATATATATATAATCATTGAAATAGGGAACTTAGCCCCGCAAACAACCCAATATAAAATTCACTTGTATGGAGATTTGAACTCAGGACCTTGTAGTACTACTCAGGTCACTATAACCACTAGGTCATTGTAACTACTCAGGTCACCGTAAGAAAATTTGAGGTGTAGAGAAATTACCGAGCCTGTGCATTGTTTTTTTTGGTGCAATTTTTGCTTAGGGTATATTCTATTTATGCTATGTTGAACAGCGTAGGCTTTTTATTCCTTGTGTTTACAATGATTCTTTGAAGATGTACAAGCTAAGGTAAGCTCACCCCCCGGTGACCAGTCTAAAAAAGACAAGGTATGTTCGTACAACCTATTGTAACGCACGGATACATTTGCTAGTGCTGAAAGTATTTCAAATTGTTTGATCAAATCCGGTTCCAATTACAAGTTTACAACAGTTGTAACATGAATGAATTCTAACCCTTCGAAGATGACAGTTTAATCCTCAAGCCGTCGAGGTGATTCCTTCCGTCGAGCTTTGCCGAGTAGTAACGCTTCATGAAATCCAGGTAGCCCATCGACGTGTACCGCGCGTTATCGCCGCCGCCTTCCCCGACCAGCTCCGGCAGAGGCCCGACCACCGCGTCCTGGCACGGCTGGTGGAACACCGCCGCCGACACGCGCTCCCTGTCCGGCCGCACCACCGCCCTGTGCTCCACGCTCCGGTACTTGCCGTTGCTCATGATCTGCATGCATTTTTTGCGAGACGCGTAAAAAAATTGCATGTCAATATATTAAAAGAAAATAAATTTTTGTTACATAACACAATCAGCTAGACTATTTGAACTATATAACTTTGCTCATTTCTAGTAATGGAAATAGGAACCCTTGCCCTTGATTTTTTTTAAAAAAACAATCAACTAGACCGGCTTATGCCAAAGAAAGAAAAATAAAATAAGAAACTAAATCTTAGGAAGAACTACGGAGGCTAAACACAACTTCTAATAGCGGGAAGGCGTAGAGCCACGCTACACTCCTAAGAAATCCCCAGAAACAGCAACCCCGGCTAAGGAATGCAGATGACCCCGGCTAAGAAGATGATCTGCATGCAGACGCACGTAGCAGCAAAGCAAACATGAAGCCAAGAAATCATCCTCGGCGATGGCTATGTTTGCCTCGACGCCATTGTTGGTCAGTCGGTAACCTCGAGTATGTCGCCGACGTTGACGATGAACGCGCCGTCGTCCGGAGGGGCGCCGACGGCGAGCCACCTGCCGCCGGGGCTCCTGATCTGCAGGCCCGGCACGTCGTTCACCTGCAGGAGCAGCGTCAGGCAGGCGGCGTCGGTGTGCGGCGACAGGCCGACCACCTTGCCGGCCTCCCGGCACGGCGGGTAGTCGTTCATCCTGATGCCCTGCGGCTGGTCCTGGAACCTCTCCAGCAGCGACCCCGGCCTCACGCCCATGTCCTTCGCCATGAACTCCAACAGGCATCTCGCCACCCTCGCCGTCTCCGACGAGTACCGATCTATCGAATTCCTGATCACAGGCAAGTGATCGCCAAGAACCAAGATTACTCTCTCTTTTTCAACAACACGCAATCAAAACCGCAGAAGATTAATTTGATGATTATCATAAGCAGTTTGACTTTGATCTTGATCGATCGATCACCTGAAGGATGGAGGATGAGCAGGCCAGAGGGCCATGTTCCTGGACTCGCCGGGGCGGAGAACGAGGTAGAACATGTCAGCCCAGTCCAGCTTCTGCTCGTGCGACACCACGAACGCCTGGCCATATCCCTCGATGCCACTGGGCAGCTGCGAGTACGCCTTCTTGGTCTCCATTGGCAGCCTGAAGAACTCGGCTATGTCTTTCCTCGCGTCGCGGATCACATCCTCTGACACGCCATGGTTGATCAGCTGCATGCAGTTCACCAGTTCATGTTCATGTTCATCCATATCGTGAGTCAACGCTTTTGCTATCTCTCACTACGTACGTACGTTTCAAAACTTGTCTGATCAAATTCAGTCTGTCTGCCAAGAAATCTGCATACCTGAAAGAATCCCCATTGCTGACAGGCAGACCCCAGCTTTTCAGTCTCCTCGTCTGACGACAATGGATCGAGCAACTTGCTGAGATCGACGGTAGGAATTGCGGCCGTGCAGTCGTCGCCGCTGATGACCTCGTCGGCGTTGGCGTCTGCTCTGATGTACCTCTCAGGTATCTGCTGATCTGGATCGTTGCAGGTCTCTGCGAGTGCCTGAACATTTGCCACCGGCAGAGATCCTGTGCTTCTTGCATGAGCCATTGGTGATTTTTCTCGCTCCTGTTCTTCTTCAGTAGGTGTAGTCGTGTAGCCGTGTAGGTGTCTTCCTGGAGCAGACAAATATTGTTTTCAGATCAAGTCTTGTACTTTTCCTTTGGAAGAAAGTGTGATTGGTATTTGTACTTAGCCGGCCATGGAGCATTAGCAATTAATTAGTACTGGTGATGCTAGCATGTTGGAGACTAATTAAGCCGTAGGAGTGTTTGGTCAGATACTCAAGCTCATGGGAGAAAATCACATGCATGATCTGTCAGTGAAAAGTCTTAGTTATATTCCAATTGGACTTAACAATGTCTCACCTGACACAAATTTGGTGATGGATCTTATGAAGTATTAAAAAAAATGCTGCATTCAACTAAGGAGGTCAAAGAACATATTTTTCCCCAAAGAAAACATCTGCATATCACTTTCAGAAAATTTCTTTTGAATGGTCACTTTACTACTTTAGGACCATATATGTGGGTGGGCCGAGATTGAGGCCCATCCATTCGAGGCCTCAAGAAACGAAACGGTATAAGCACGCGGAATAAGTTCATCCAAGGTCCCTTAACTCGTCAACGAATCCAATTTTCGTCCTTTAACCGCAAAACCAGATACAACGGGTCCCTCAACTATCAAAACTGATGCAGATTAGGTTCCCTGGCGGTTTCGATGGTGGTTTTGGCTGACGTGGCGCCTACGTGGCTATTTTTGACTTGGTCTTGATCTGACGTGGCATTGATGTAGCGCTTACTTAGCAATTTGATCTGGGAAAATAATAAACCCCGTGGGACCCACATGTCAGTTTCACAAAAAAAATAACAATAATGGTGGGACCAACGTGGGCCCGCCATGTCAGTCTAACTCACCCCCTCCTCTTCTGCTTCCTCTTTCTCCTTCTCCCCTCTCTTCATCTCTCTCTTGCGGCCGGCGACGACGAGTCGACGACGGCGGCGGAAATGGAGAAGAGTGGTCGCCGGCCATCTCTCTCTTGTGCGCGCTCGCCGGTAGGCCAGGGAGCTCGCCTAGCTCCTTCCCACCGGTGGGAGAGGAGGGAGCAGCGTGCCGGGGGCATAGGCGTGACGTCGCCGGGGGCGCTTCGAGGCGGAAGTATACGCTGACGACGTGGCCGTCAGAGGTGAGCAAGGTCATCATGGACTCACGGTATTGGCGGTGTCGTCGGCAGCGGCAGAGCAGAAGTTGTAGTTGGAGTCCTCATCGTCGACCTCGAGTTCTTCAATGTGCTCGAGCATCACCCACCGTTGTTAGCCGCCGTCGGCGGAAGGTAGCGCCGCCATCTCCTGTTGGGTTTCCATGGGCCACGGCGAGCGGATCGATGGGTTCCTCGTCAGTCCGGCCGGAACGGTGTTTTCTTGCCCAAAACAATGATCATTCATTCATTCATCAATCCCGTCGTACCACAAGCAAATGATGATGACGAAGCAAAATATACTCCAGTCAGCTAGTACTAGTTGCTATTGCTTCTACCTTTGTATGATTAGGCACATAAACAAAATTAAGACCAAACAGAACACAAACTAAGAAACTCCTTGGACGCGCCGTGCAGCATCCTCGGTGGCATGCACAGCACCGTGCCCTCCTCCACTGCGACGTCGTTGGGAGAAGAGCCGGAGAATGGACGACGAGGGCTGGACTGAGGAGGAGGAGGACGACAACGACGCGCGGGATTTGCCGAGCGCGAGCCGACGGAAGAGAGGAGCGGAAGAGGAAGAAGTCGAAGCGGGAGAATGCGGAGCGGAGGTCGTCGGCTCTGGCGCCCCAGCCGAGGCCGTGGATGAAGAGCTTCCTGCTCACGGGATCGGCCTCCGCCGCGCGCTGCACGGTCGTAATCGTCGCTGGGGTCGTCTTCGCGGCCAGCCGCCTCTCCCCTCTCCCGCCGGCGAGGTGGCCCCCTCATCCGCCCACGCGGACGGCCGCCTTCGAGGATGCAGAGGTCGGCATCGACGTCGTCCGCAGCCACGGCCACGGCGGCGCTGCCTCTGCCGCCGGGCTGGTTCCCTTCTCCCCACTAGTTTCCCTCCCGCCAGCCGCCGCGTCGCGCCCCTTCTCCCCGCCGGCCACCGCCCTCTCCCCGCCGCCCGTCAACTGGAGAGAAGAGAGAGAGGAGAGGGAAGAGAGATGAAGACAGAGAAGATGGGGAAGAGGAGAATCAGACCATGTTTAGATGGGACTAAAACTTTTAAGTCCCTATCACATCGGATGTTTGGACACTAATTATAAATATTAAACGTAGACTATTAATAAAACCCATCCATAATCTTGGACTAATTCGCGAGACGAATCTATTGAGTCTAATTAATCCATGATTAGCCTATGTGATGCTACAGTAAACATTCTCTAATTATGGATTAATTAGGCTTAAAAAATTATCTCGCGAATTAGCTTTCATTTATATGATTAGTTTTGTAAGTAGTCTATATTTAATACTCTAAATTAGTGTCTAAATACATGGACTAAAGTTAAGTCTATGGATCCAAACACCACCTCAGAATGACCCAGGGCAAGAGAGAGATGAAGAGAGGGGAGAAGGAGAGAGAGGAAGCAGAAGAGGAGGGGGTGAGTTAGACTGACATGTGGGGCCCACATGGGTCCCACCATTACTATTATTATTATTGTGTGTGAAACTGACATATGGGTCCCACGGGGTTATTATTTTCTGGATTCAATTGCCACGTAAGCGCCACATCATTGCCACGTCAGATCAAGACCAAGTCAAAATTAGCCATGTAGACGCCACGTCAGCCAAAACCACCATCGAAACCGTCGAGGGATCTAATTTGCACCGGTTTTGATAGTTGAGGGACCCGTTGTATCTGTTTTGCGGTTGAAGGACGAAAATCGGATTCGTTGACAAGTTAAGGGACCTGAGATGAACTTATTCCTAAGCACGCGTATGAGAGCCCAATTAGCCCATGTAGTTTGACCACCAAATTCCCCGTCGAATCGTCGCCTCGTCGGCGGCCACCGCCTCCGCCGCGCAAATGGGCAAATGCGCAGCGCGGCAGCGGCAGTGGCGGTGGCCGCTCCTCCACCGCTCGCCTCGCCCTACGCCGCCGCCACCGCATGGCCTCCACCCCCCGCGTCGCGCTCTCGCCGAGCATGCCCGGATGCCAGCAGAGCAGCAGCAGCCGCCTCCTGTGGCTCCCGCCAGGGTCACGTTCTCCCGCGTCTTCCAGAGCTGCGCCCAGGCAGGACGGGAGGCGCTCGCCGCCGGCCGCGCCGCTCACGCGCGGATGGTCGTGTCCGGGTTCGTCCCCACTGCCTTCGTCTCCAACTGCCTCCTCCAGATGTACGCGCGCTGCGCGGGCGCCGCGTGCGCACGGAGGGTGTTCGACGCGATGCCCCGCCGGGACACCGTCTCCTGGAACACCATGCTCACCGCGTACTCGCACGCGGGGGACATCTCCACCGCGGTCGCGCTCTTCGACGGGATGCCGGACCCTGACGTGGTGTCGTGGAACGCGCTCGTCTCCGGTTACTGCCAGCGCGGCATGTTTCAGGAGTCTGTTGATCTATTCGTGGAGATGGCTCGCCGAGGTGTTTCCCCTGACCGGACGACGTTTGCTGTTCTGCTCAAGTCGTGCAGCGCTTTGGAAGAGCTGTCACTTGGCGTTCAAGTCCATGCATTGGCAGTAAAGACAGGGTTAGAGATCGATGTCCGGACTGGGAGTGCTTTGGTGGACATGTATGGCAAATGCAGGAGTTTGGATGATGCACTTTGCTTCTTCTATGGTATGCCTGAGAGGAACTGGGTTTCGTGGGGTGCAGCTATTGCAGGATGTGTTCAAAATGAGCAGTATGTGCGTGGACTAGAACTGTTCATTGAGATGCAGAGGTTGGGGCTTGGGGTGAGCCAACCGTCTTATGCCAGTGCCTTCAGATCATGCGCAGCAATGTCATGCCTGAACACTGGTAGACAGTTGCATGCGCACGCCATAAAGAACAAATTTAGTTCTGACCGAGTTGTTGGGACAGCCATTGTGGACGTGTATGCTAAGGCTAATAGCTTGACCGATGCTAGAAGAGCATTCTTTGGGTTGCCCAACCATACGGTGGAGACATCCAATGCCATGATGGTTGGGCTTGTACGAGCAGGGCTAGGAATTGAGGCCATGGGACTCTTTCAGTTTATGATTAGGTCTAGCATTCGTTTTGATGTAGTCAGCTTATCAGGGGTTTTCAGTGCTTGTGCTGAGACTAAGGGTTACTTCCAAGGGCAGCAAGTTCACTGTTTAGCAATTAAATCAGGTTTTGATGTGGACATCTGTGTCAACAATGCAGTTCTGGATCTGTATGGGAAGTGCAAAGCATTGATGGAAGCATACCTTATCTTCCAAGGTATGAAGCAAAAAGATTCAGTCTCTTGGAATGCAATTATTGCGGCTCTTGAGCAAAATGGGCATTACGATGATACTATACTTCATTTTAATGAGATGCTGCGCTTTGGTATGAAACCAGATGATTTCACTTATGGTAGTGTTCTTAAAGCTTGTGCAGCTTTGCGGTCTTTGGAGTATGGATTGATGGTGCATGATAAAGTTATCAAGTCAGGACTTGGTTCAGATGCTTTTGTAGCAAGCACTGTTGTTGACATGTACTGCAAATGTGGCATAATTGATGAGGCTCAAAAACTTCATGATAGAATTGGCGGGCAACAAGTTGTTTCATGGAATGCCATTTTATCTGGGTTTTCACTCAATAAAGAGAGTGAAGAAGCCCAGAAGTTCTTCTCCGAGATGCTAGATATGGGTCTAAAGCCAGATCATTTCACGTTTGCCACTGTTCTTGATACTTGTGCGAACCTTGCCACCATTGAGCTTGGTAAACAAATCCATGGTCAGATTATCAAGCAAGAAATGCTGGATGATGAATATATATCCAGCACTCTTGTAGATATGTATGCCAAATGCGGGGATATGCCAGATTCACTGCTAGTGTTTGAGAAGGTAGAGAAACGGGATTTTGTATCATGGAACGCTATGATATGTGGATATGCGCTCCATGGGCTAGGAGTAGAAGCACTCAGGATGTTTGAGAGGATGCAAAAAGAGAATGTAGTGCCAAACCATGCCACTTTTGTTGCAGTTCTTAGGGCATGCAGCCATGTTGGGCTGTTCGATGATGGCTGCCGCTACTTTCATTTGATGACTACCCACTACAAATTGGAACCACAGCTGGAGCACTTTGCTTGCATGGTGGATATACTAGGACGCTCAAAGGGCCCACAAGAAGCTGTGAAGTTTATCAACAGCATGCCTTTTCAAGCTGATGCAGTCATATGGAAGACTCTCCTCAGCATTTGCAAGATCCGTCAGGATGTTGAGATTGCTGAACTTGCTGCCAGCAATGTTCTACTATTGGATCCTGATGATTCTTCAGTTTATATCCTTCTCTCAAATGTATATGCGGAATCAGGGAAATGGGCTGATGTTTCTAGGACAAGAAGGCTGCTGAAGCAGGGGCGTCTGAAGAAGGAGCCTGGTTGTAGCTGGATTGAGGTGCAAAGCGAGATGCATGGTTTCCTTGTAGGAGATAAGGCCCATCCAAGATCGGGTGAGCTATATGAGATGCTGAATGACTTGATTGGTGAAATGAAACTCTCTGGATATGAACCTGATTCAGCTTCTTTTGTTGAGGTCGATGAAGAGGGGAGTGCACCAGAGCATTGCTTGGAGTTGTTGGTGGCTAATCTGTTGTGAAGCTTTCAAACTATTGCATTTTGAGTCTCTATATATAAATTTGACAACACCCCCCCAGCAGAGACAGTGGTACTACAAAAGATGCACAGGAACTCCTGAAGTGTTCGTTGCGGTTATTTCAGTACAAGCATGTCCTTGTTGACCTTACAGAAGCATGCAACTGGAAAACTGTTGGCGTTAGAGCAAGTAATGTCATGTCCCTGTAGCGAGTGATGTGGAGTGATGAACACATAGCTTGTGCCCTATACAGGCTTGAATAGAGGCCCTTGACCAAAAGCGCAGAAGAATAAGTGTACGTGCGGTGCACGCCCTTTCCTCAGAACAGGGACACAAAAAGTAATACAGACCATCCCCAAACAACATGCACACAGAAGGAAAAAATGATTCCAATAATGAGCTCGCTGATTTTGTGTGTACAACAGAATCTGAAGATTATATACTTGTGAACCTGATATTTTATGAGAAACTTTGAGAACAGGATGAGAAGTTCGGTTCAACTGTTGTCCAGAAAAGATGCAAGGTCCTTGGCTACATGTGACCAAGAGAGGCATAATTTTATTCAGATCATGCACACTCCTTGGCTACATGTCTTTGCCTACATTTGTATTCCACAAAATGATTGCAATTATTGATAGACAAAATGAAGTGGTATTGTTACAAAATACAGGTTGCAGCAGAAATATGAGGCATTGACATTTCCCTTCCAAGAACCGCTTAGATTTTATTTTCCCGAGCAACGCAGTCGTTCGGACATTAATTTAGTAAGTCATGCCAAACCATGGTACAAAAAAATGGACTGCTTATGACATTGTCATTGCTGATACCGGTGAGGATTATTTATCTGAGGGTGAAAATTGATGCAGTGTTTTACGTTGTGTAGTTTTCTTCTGTATTCTGCCACCATTCCGCCCCTTTGCTCTTCAACTTATGGCTGCAATTTGTAATTTGTCTCTTTCCAGCTTTGATTTTGCTTTTTGCATAGAAATATTCAATCTCATTAAAGAAAAATGTTTTGCTTAAAACATTTTTTCTTTTTTGGAAAAGAAATCTAAATTCTTTCGAAATCTAATGATTAGATGAGCAGCGGGTAATAAGGATCCACATAAAAGATTCACATAGCTTAGTAATATCATACTGACATGCATGATGCATCATTAACCACAGTATCTGGCAGGACTATGAGGTTTCATGTTAGTCTAAAATTCAAGGTGTTGCCTTGATCATATTATCCTTTCCCCAGCTGCCCGTACATTCTGCTCCATGATTTTTCCCCTCTCTATTGCTATCTCAGGTTGTGTTATGTTCTTTGCATGCCAATCTCAGTGATATTGAACACAGAGATTGCTTTATAGGGGTTTGCTCAATGATGGGGAAAGAGGAAGGCAGAATTTGAACTACAGGTGTGTTTGATTCAGTATGTTTGCTTCCCCAGAATCATGAGCTGCCTGAAACACAATGGCTTCTATTTGCCATCAAATACGTGAATTAGGATGTGTAACATGCTGTTCATGTTGTTCCTATTGGTTTCCACTTTCAATGGCTAAAATCCTTCTAATCCATTTATGTCATACTCCCTCCGTCCCAAAAAAAACCCAATCCTGGGTTTGAACCTGGACAAGAAGGAGATCACATGTGTCCAGGTTCAAACCCAGGATTGGGTTTTTTTTGGGATGGAGGGAGTATATGTGTAGTGGATCTTGCTTTATACAGTCCATGGTTTCAGCATCAATTTGTTCTCTTTGACTGCTTTAGTTCAATTGAGGGGTTCACTGTTCACATATGATATGCAATGCCTGAGTTAAAGGTTCCAGAAAAGGCTGAATGACCAAAAAAAAAAATCAACAAAGAGCATACTTTTTTTTTTTGCCGAATGTAGTTATATATTATATCAATCAAACATGTGATGGGAAGATATATGGAGCGTTATCTGTTCGCGCATAAATTCTACATGTTTAGTTCGAAGTTCGAACTGAAGTTGTATTATCATATAGTTTATTCTTCAAGGCATCAATGTTTATTTCCATTTTTTGTTTCAGGTGTTTGCATCATAACTTGATCAAGAACATGTTGTTCCTGATATATGGTACAAGACTCAAAATATCAGGTAAATCATCATTGTAATACAGGATTGTTTCACCTCTAAGCAGCAGATCTCATGGACAGCCCCCAAGCAGGTTCATGTCAGTATCTCAGGCGTCATGGTCACAGCTACTGGTCCAGCTTTAATACCTCCACTCGGTTTTTTCCATCAAGCTGTTGTGTGAAGATTTGTTTCATGAAATCAAGGTAACTTATTGATCTGTACTTCACTTTACCATCTTTCACAAACTCCGGCAGAGGGCTGATCACCATATTTTCACTTGGATAGTGGAAGAGTGCTGCTGAAATTCGCTCTTTATTTGGGTTTATCACGGCCCTGTGTTCAACACTTCTGAACTTTCCGTTACTCAGGATCTGTATATATCAATAGTATATCACTCATATGAGTACAAAGGTGCAAGAGAAGCAGGTCATCCAACAACAATGTTCAGAAGCGGAACACAAGTCGTGGACTCAAGAATATAAATAATTTGAACTTAGGTATTTTGTTTGGTGCTTTGACAAGTTTTCTAGATAATAGGAGCTTTTATTGAACTCATCCAAATACATCAAGGTCCTTCGACATGTGAAAGCATAATTTGTTATTGGTCATTACCTCAAGTGTGTCGCCAATGTTAGCAATAAGTGCACCATTTGGAGCATCTATGGAGAACCACTTGCCATCTTTCTTGATCTGCAGGCCCTGCACATTGTTAATCTCGAGCAGCAGTGTCAGGCCACCCGCATCAGAGTGTGGCGAAAGGCCCATCACCTTGTCAGCTTGCCGGCATGGTGGGTAATAGGCCATCCTTAAGCCTCGAGGCTGCTCTTCAAATAAATCTAAAAGTGACTCTGGCTTAGCGCCCACAGCCTTAGCCATGAACTCAAACAAGCAGAGTGCCAGGCTTTTAGTCTCTGATGAGTATGCATCAATGGATTGCCTATTTCCAGACATCTCCAGTTAAGAAGAGACAGATGCCTATCAAAAGCTAAATTGCACAGTTTTTTTTTTTTTTTGGTAGATCACCTGAAAGATGCTGGAGAAGTGGGCCAGAACCTTAGGTCCCTTGAATCGCTAGGATGGACATGAAGATACAGCATGTCTGCCCAGTCAAGTTTCTGGTCCTCAGAGAAAACAAAGCTCTGTCCATAGCCTTCTAGGCTATTCGGTAGCTGTGTGTACTCCTTCTTGGTGTCCAGTGGCTGGCTAAAGAAATCAACAATGTCTCTCTTCAGGTTTGCAATCACTTCATCTGGCACTCCATGGTTAATGAGCTGTAGTTTATTCCAAAAGTAAATGTTTCCATTATACTAGTTGCACAGCTCAAACTGAGCTAGAGCTACCTTACAGGACATGAATTTATTCATTTTCTGCCCACAACTTTATTTGATTATCTGTAGCGTCTTTAATCAATTCAAACATTTGTATATACAGTATGCATTTGCAAATAGGTATCTGTTGCTTTCCGAAGATGAAATGCCAAGAACCTAAAGTTACATACCAGAAAGAACCCCCAATACTGGCAGGCAGATCTCAGCTTCACACACTCCTCTTCTGATGATTGCGGACAAAGCAATTTCTTGAGATCGATGATCGGAATCGCCATGTCACCTTGGTAGTTGTTGATGACCTCCTCAGAACTAGCCTCTGGTCTGATGTACCTTTCAGGTATGTGTTCATCTGGATCATTGCAAATTTCTGCAAGCGCCTGCACATTAGGCACTGGGAGAGAACCAACGGATCTTGCTCCCGCCATTGCAATTCCCAGTTTCTGCACTAAGTGTTTTCTTTTCTTTTCCTTTTTTGGCAAGCAGTTGTTCTAGGCTGTATACTGCATATAACGTGTAGAATATACCATATTTATAGACCTTCAGAAGAACACTCACTTGATTTTATGGTTTACTGTTTAGGTATCCAGGTGTTTACACTAGCTAAATCATGCCTTTTTTTTTTGAAGTAAAAGGTAGAGAGTCTCTACCTTATGGCATTAGAGGAACACATCTATGTCATTAGAGGAACACATCTATGTCAAAAGGGATTTTTTTTAAAGATAATGGATAGAAAAACTGGTGGATATAGATGGCCAACTGAAAGCAACACATACAGTATCAGAGACGGGGAAGGCAGAGTCTCTTATCCTGATATGGCTTCAAGCTCTTCAATTGTAGTACACTATCTTCCATCTTCACGTCAAAAGAGCCCTTGGAATTTTCTCCATCAAGTGTGACTCGCCTGCCATCAGCGATGACTAACCATGGAAAAAAGCAGGGTGATGTTCTCAAATTCCAATCACCTTGTCTGTCTGCTTCAACTGATGTGAACAGCTCTACCATTCCTCTCTCAAAGAAGAAAAGGTTGAATCATGCTACATAACAATCATTCTCTCTTAATTCTAAATAAGAGAACATGACATCCTACGTGCATATTTAGTTGTTGCTGTTTTCAACCTTACCAAATTTTGATATTGCCAAAGTTTGGTAAGGCAACAAACTAAACACACTTCAACCATTACTATCTTATTAAATTTTGGCAGCTCTAGAAGCTTCTTTTCTTAAAACTCTACTAGAATTTGGTAAAGACATCAAACTAAACAAAGCCAACGCTACCGAAATGTAGTAATGCCAAAGTGTGCCAAAATTTAGCATGGAAGATGGTGTACCTAATTTGTTAGTCTGAACTGAAATTCTATTATCGTACAGTTAATTCTTCTAGGCATCAATGTTTATTTTTTGGATGTTTGCATCATAACCTGAGTACGGGCAGTTCCTGATATATGGGACAAGACTCAAAATATCAGGTAAATCATCCTCATAACACAGGATTATTGGACACCTCTAGATATAATAAGCAGCAAATCTCAAGGACACAGCCTTGAAGCAGCTTCATCTCAGTATTTCACTACACTACTACAGGCATCGTGGTCATGGCTGCTATTCCAACTTCAACATCTCCAGTCTGTTCTTTCCATCAAGCTGTTGTGTGAAGAATTGTGTCATGAAATCAAGGTAACTAATTGATCTGTAATTCACTTTACCATCTTTCACAAATTCCGTCAGAGGTCTGATCACCATATTCTCACACGGATAGTGGAACAGTGATGCTGAAATCCGCTCCTTATTTGGGTTTATCACGGCCCTGTGCTCAACACTTCTGAACTTTCCGTTACTTAGGATCTGTACATATCAATAGCACATCACTCACATCAGTACAAAGGTGCAAGAGAGGTAGGCCATCCAACAACAATTTTCAGAAGCTTTTAGGTACGTTCTTTCTTCTTTGGTGCTTCCACAAGTTCTTTTTTTTAGATAATGGAAGCTTTTATTGAACTCATCCAGTTACATCAAAGTTCTTTGACAAGTGAAAGCATAATTAGTTCTTGGTCGGTACCTCAAGTGTGTCGCCAATGTTAACGATGAATGCACCATTCGGAGCGTCTACGGATAACCACTTGCCATCTTTCTTGATCTGCAGGCCCTGCACGTCGTTAACCTGGAGCAGCAGTGTTAGGCCAACCACATCAGAGTGCGGCGAAATGCCCATCACCTTGTCAGATTGCAGGCACGGTGGGTAGTAGGTCATCCTTAAGCCTCGAGGCTGCTCTTCAAATATGCCTAAAAGAGCCTCTGGCTTAGCGCCCACAGCCTTAGCCATGAACTCAAACAAGCAGAGTGCCAGGCTTTTAGTCTCTGATGAGTATGCATCAAGGGATCGCCTATTTCCAGACATCTCCAGTTAAGAAGAGACAGATGCCTATCAAAAGCTAAATTACACATTTTATTTGGGTAGATCACCTGAAAGATGCAGGGGAAGTCGGCCAGAACCTCAAGTCCCTTGAATCGCTAGGATGGACTTGAAGATACAGCATGTCTGCCCAGTCAAGTTTCTGGTCCTCGGAGAAAACGAGGGCCTGTCCATAGCCTTCGAGGCTGTTGGGTAGCTGTGTGTACTCCTTCTTGGCGTCCAGTGGCTGGCTGAAGAAATCAACAATGTCTCTCTTGAGGTTTGCAATCACTTCATCTGGCACTCCATGGTTGATGAGCTGTAGTTTATTCCATAAGTAATGCTTCAAATATATTAGTTGTACAGCTCAAACTGAGCTAGATCTACTTACAGTACATGAATTTATTCATTTTCTTCCCACAACTTAATTTATCATCTGTAGTATCCTTAATCAATTTAAACATTTGTATATGCAGTATGCATTTGCAAATAGGTATCTGTTGCTTTCTGAAGATGAAATGCCAAGAACCTAAAGTTACATACCTGAAAGAACCCCCAATACTGGCAGGCAGATCTCAGCTTCACACATTCTTCTGATGATTGCGGAGAAAGCAACTTATTGAGATCGATGATCGGAATCGCCTCACCATGGTAGTTGCTGATGACCTCCTCAGAACTAGCCTCTGGCCTGATGTATCTTTCAGGTATGTGTTCATCTGGACCATTGCAAGTTTTTGCAAGCTCCTGCACATTAGGCACTGGGAGAGAACCAATGGCTCTTGCTCCCGCCATTGAAATTCCCAAGTTTCTGCAGCAAGTGTTTTCTTTCCTTTTTTTGGGCTAGCAGTTGTTGTAGGTTGCATATTGCATGGATATCCACATATATAGACCTTCAGAAGAACACACTTTGACTGTACGGTTTAGTGTTTATCTTTCCAGGTGTTTACACTTTACACTAGCTAAATTTTAGCATAAGAGGAACACATCTATGTTTAAAGCGATATATATCATAGATGTGGAAGGCAGTGTCACCAACCACCCAATCAACAGACAAAGATCAAGTCTCTGATCCTGACTGATATACCTGCTTCAAGCTCTCCAATTGTACACCATCTTCCATCTTCTTGTGAAAAGAGCCCTTGCAATTTTCTCATCTAGTGTGCCTAGCCTGTCGTCAGCGACGACTAACCGTGGATAAAAGGTGGATGATGCAGTAAAAGTCCCTCTTTCTCAAATGCCGATCAACTTGTATGATGTGAACAGTTATATCATTCCTCTCCAGAAAAAAGAAAAGGTTGTATCATGCTACAGAACAATCATTCTATCTTAATTCTTAATAAGAAGATATTCCCATTTCTGGATAGTGTCTAAATTGGTAATCAAACTCCAACACTATTTCATAAATCGTACCCCAAAAAAATTCCATTCTGAAATACCGGATTATGAACTAACAACAAGGCTCAGACACATGCCCAGGTTTACCACGTATACTCTTTGAGTTGATTTCACAAGATTAATCAAGCTTCGTATCTCTTTTGGTTATTTATTTTACAACTTTCAAGTGGTTAGCCTAAAGTTAAGAAAAAAAATATGTTTATATTTAGGACATAATACACACTTTGAACGTGACGTCATTTTTTAGTGTGTAATTTTTTAAAAAGGAAATTAAGACGAGTGATCAAAGTGAGAAAATAAATAGTGTCCGTACCGGTTCTTTTTCTTTTTAATGGAGGGAGTAGTCACTTTTCCCCTGCAGGGTCTCATATAGATGAGGCAAATTTTGCTACGTGTGGTTTTAGCCTTACGACACTGCCTAAACTCACTTTTGGGGAAAACACTCCATAAACGTGGTAATTTGACAGTAGACACTGCACCGATTAAAATAATAATTTCTGGTTGAGGAGGAGAGAGAAATCATGTGAAATGTCAAAAATGCCCTTAGGCCCACATGTCATCTCTCCTATCTCTCTTCTCTTTCTATCCCCTCCTTCCAGCTCGTCCGCAATGGCCTCCACCGCACCTCCCGCTTCCACGACGCCATGCGGACCATCCACGCCGTCGTGGCGGTGGCTGGCGATGAAGGGGTGGCGCAGCGAGGCGAGGATGGTGCTCGACCGGACGTCGGACACCGCCGGCCGAGGCTGAGCAGCGGCTGCAGGAGATCGAGGACGTCGTCGCCGCCAGCTCCGTCGGCGGCAACGGCGGCGGTGCGCGGAAGGAGGTGGCGACCAAGCCCGGCATGCAGCGGGTGCTCACCATCGTGCTGATGCTGCAGTTCTTCCAGCAAGCCTCCGACATCGACTCCGTGGTACTGTACGGCCCGGGCGTGCTCGCCGCCGCCGGCGTGACGCCCAACACCCTCCTCCTGGGCCTCAACGTGGTGTTCGGCGTCGCCAAGGCGAGCTCCATCCTCATCGCCATGGCGCTCACCGCCCGCGTGCGGCGCCGTCCTCTGCTTCTCGCCAGCACGGGCGGCATGACCGCCTCTCTCCTCGTGCTCGGCTCGGTGTTCGCCGCGTTCGGCGGCGCGAGGGACGACGCGGCGGTGGCCGCCGTCGCCGTCGCTGTGGTGGTGGCGTTCGCGTGCGCGTTCTCCGTCGGGATCGGGCCGTTGGCGTGGGTGTACAGCTCGGAGATCCTGCCGCTGCGGCAGCGCGGGCAGGGCGCCAGCGTCGGCACCGCCATGAACCGCGTCACGTGGTCACCATGACGTTCGTCTCGCTCTACGGAGCCATCACCATGGCCGACGCATTCTACCTCTACATCGCCATCGCCGTGCGTCGTTCGTGTTCATCTACGCCTGCCTGCAGACACTAGAAGGAGGGGGACAGAGAGAAGAGAGATAGGAGAGATGGCACGTGGGTCCAAGGGTATTTTTAACCTTTCACGCGATTTCTCTCTCCTCTTCAACTGAAAATTATTATTTTATTCAGCGCGGTGTTCACTGGCAAATTACCACGTTTATAAAGTGTTTTCCCTCGTAAGTGAGTTTGTGCAGTGTCCTAGAGCTAAAACCACATATAAGCAGTATCCTATAGCAAAATTTGCCCCCAGATAATAGTTCGGAGCGTTTTACAGTAATTACTACTTTATTGAAGCTGGTGTTAAGAGGCAAACTTCCATGTCTGTTTCATCAAACTGAACATGTTCAACGCAGTTTACAGGCATAAGCTAATTATGCATAAAGCTTGATGCCTGAATACATTATTCTTCACGACATATATTTCCTATATCCCAAATTTTTTAAAAAAACATAGTACACGATGTAACATTTTCTAATTTATGGTACTATGATGTATCATATATGTACTATGTTTATTTATTTTAGGATGAAGAGAGTAGATAGCAGATACAGTAAGTAGGACACAACCTGAAAGCAGGTTCTTCTTATAAAATTGTTACATGCATCATGGTCGATGGCTACGGTTCCAGCTTCATTTTCTTTAGCCGGTTCCTTCCATCAAGCTCTGCTGTGAAGTACTCTGTCAGCAAATCCTGGTAGCTTATTGTTTTGTATTTCACTTTACCATCTTTCACAAAGTCCGGCAGAGGGCTGATCACCATATCCTGGCACGGATAGTAGAACAGTGCCGCTGAAATCCTCTCTCTGCTTGGATGTACCACGGCCCTGTGCTCAACACTTCTGAACTTTCCATTACTCAGGATCTGCACACATCAACAGCGCACATCGACCGTACTTGTACATCAGAAAAACATGTTGATCCAAAAGTTGAGCATCAGCGGCTTTGATTGTCTACTCATTGGCTTATCGGCCACAACCAAAATGATTTTGTACTGATCATTTGTTTTAAGCTATTTGTTAAATTTATTTCTTAAAAATATTTTGATTCACAATAAAATAATCTGCCTAATATCCTATATCAAACGGGATTAGTTCTTTTTTTTTAAATAACTAGAAAAAATGCTCGTGTGTTGCAACTGGTGGAGTCTATTTTAATATTATTATTGTTATATGGTTTAGTTAAGATGAAATTTATTGTGGGAGTTCGTTTGGATATATATATATATATATATATATATATATATATATTTAGAAAATCATGAGCTGCAGTTAGGAGTCCGATCACCTCATGTTAGCATGCGAGTTTTTTAAACAGATTTCTTATATTATTCCTTCTGTATTATCAAAAGTGAACTATCTTAAAAACCGACTCAAATACGGATATGTATTTCCAAAAGCGAACGAACTTAGAAACTGACTCATACATGGATGACGCACCAAAATACCGGGAAAAATATCTTCAACTTTTATAATAGTATAAAGATAAAAGCTTTATTTAACTCATGAAATTACATCGATACGATACAATTGCCCCGAGAACGGGATTAGTCATTACCTCAAGTGTGTCGCCAATGTTAACGATGAGTGCACCATTCAGAGCATTCACGGAGAACCATTTGCCATCCTTGTTGATCTGCAGGCCCTGTACATCATTCACCTGGAGAAGCAGTGTCAAGCCACCTGGATCAGTGTGCGGTGACAAACCCAACACCTTGTCAGCTTTCAAGCACGGTGGATAGTAGTTCATCCTCAAACCCCTAGCTTGCCCTTCAAATACACTTAACAACGACTTCGGCTCAACACCAACGGCCTTGGCCATGAATTGCAGCAGGCAGAGTCCAATATTTTCTGTCTCTGATGAGTATGCATCAATGGAATGCCTAATTTTCAGATATTTCAAGTTAATAAATGGACATATGTATGCTTTAAAAGTTATAATGAACATATGCTTATCAATGGAGTAATTAGTTGCATAATAATTTGTCGGTAGTATCACCTGAAAGAGGCAGGGTAATTGGGCCAGAATCTCAAGTCCCTTGAATCGGTAGGACAGACTTGAAGGTATAGCATGTCTGCCCAGTCTAGTTTCTGGTTGTCGGACACAACGAAGGCCTGTCCATAACCTTCAAGGTTATTGGGCAGCTGTGAGTATTCCTTCTTGGCATCCAGTGGCTGACTGAAAAACTCAACCAAGTCGTTCTTGAGATTTGCAATCACTTCATCTGGCACTCCATGGTTGATGAGCTGTAGTTTTTGTTGCATAAGTAATGCTTTTGTTATACTATTTGCACATCTCAAACTGAGCTAGAGCTACTGTCAGTACATGTATTTTTCTGGCATCAGCTTAATTGAATTACTAGGTGATTCTCCGCGCTTGGCTACGGGAATTACTAAACAATTTTCAATATCTTTTTTGACAATCAAGTTAGGAGTAAAAAGAACAAAAATAATGAAGCATCAGGGTTTATCAGTCAAATAATACCCGTGCTTTAGTGTGAAACATATTGATAAGTATATGTTAAATATTGTAAAAGTGATAGATAGATTTGTTAAAATATTATGCAAATGATATGAGGGGTGATGATTGGATATGCTTTCATTTTGATTTGTAGAATTAAATAAATTATAGAACATGTTGTAAGCTTGCACGAGATTAAATATGTAATTATTGCTAGTGGGTGATGATGTGGTATGGTTGCATGTTGAGCTTTAGACTTAGTGAGCTTTAACTTTATAAAAAGCATAGATTACTACCTCTAATGTCTTAACTAATCTACGTTTTTTTTTCAGAGTAGGATTTTTACAACTCGAGTGCATGTGCCCTCATATTATGCATGCCAATTAAGTTATATATCGCTCTATAAACATGCAAAACTAAATTCAATCTATACATCCTTACAACCTAAAGTACAAATTTTGTTATGAATATTAATTTAGTATGTAATCAATTGTTTTAAATTTTCTTAAGGCTATTTAGGTGACTCTATTCGTAAACTGACTTTCCCCTCTTTTTTTCCCACGAATATTGCTAGATGTACTTAAAAAATTTATTACATAACTCTTACAAACAATAATATCAACCGTTTAATTTAATTAGATGGGATTTCCAAAATATCGTACTCACCACTGTGTTAGTAGTAAGAGTTTAGTAAGAATAAAATAGTACTTATAGCTAGCCAATTCCATTTTTACCTATTACTCTTCAAGAGCAAAAGCCAAGAACTTAAAGTTGCATACCTGAAAGAACCCCCAATACTGGCAGGCAGATATCAGCTTGACACACTCCTCTTGTGATGATTGAGGAGAAATCAACTTGTCGAGATCGATGATCGGAATCGACATATCACCGTGGTTGTTCTTGATGACCTCGTCGGAACTAACTTCTGGCCTGATGTATCTTTCAGGTATCTCCTCATCTATGCCATTGCAAGTTCCTGCAAGCTCCTGCACATTAGGCACCGAGATAGAACCAATGGTTCTTGCTTCTGCCATTGCTAACTCATCCTATGGCTGTGGTTCTCCTTTTTATTATTTTTGGCTAGTGGCCGATGTCTATAAAGAGAAAATTCGATTGGTGGCACAACTATTGTACTGTCAGAAAATAGCACAAAAAGTCCATCCCTCCGTCTGAAAGAACAAGTCCGTCAGAATTTTCCGATTTATAGTAATTCTTGTTGAATAGTCCCACATTGATTATTGAAGGGCAAAGTACCTAATATATACCCCTTCAGTTCCACATTAATTGACGTTTTGAACAAGGTTGAGATCAAACTTTTATAACTTTGACCGTCAATAACTTAAAAAATATTTAGTTTAAAGGAACTAGAAAAACATATATAGATTTGTCTTTCAAGACACTATAATAAAAATAAGCATACATTTATTTATTATATATATTATAATAGAAAATATGGTCAAAGATATATTTTGTAGACCGTGTCATTGTCTAAAACGTCAATTAAAATGAAACCGGAGAGAGTAAGTGAAGAAACTTCTTACCTCATTGACTAGCTTTTTGGGTAAAAAAGACCATTTATGATCCTACAAGTGGTATCAGAGTTTGGCTAGTTCAATATCTCTCATATTGGTTATCTTTGACCTGAGAGACACCAATGTTGTGAAGGGGGGATTGTTGAATAGTCTCACTCGAGAACAGTTGCCTTCGTGTAGAGCCTTGTTGCTTGTTGTGTGCGAGCTCCTAACGCTATTGGCTTGAGTTCTTTCATGCTAGTGTGCTCAACCCGTTGCTTGTTGGGCACTGAACACTTTTCAAGTAGGGATAAGTGGAGGGGCCCATCATCTCATTGGGTAGCTTTTGGGTTGGAAATGCCCTTTACAATCCTATACTTCCGTCTTGTTTTACCGTAACCATGGAATCAAGGACAAAATTGCCCTCACTATCCCTTGCGGTCTTCTCGTTGAGCGGTGCCACGTTGCAGTCGCCGGAGCCGGTCGCGGCGGCACAAAACGTGGGCGGTGGCGAACATGGGTCGATGTCACAGTACCGTTGTACACGCGAGGAAATTGGCAGTGGCGTGTCCGATGGATTCAGATTGGGTGACATAGGGTAAGCATGTCACGAGGTGACATAGCGTGAATCTCGGCCATCCAAAACAAATCCAACGGCTGAGATTCGTCCACGTCAAGCCACGTTAAAATTTAACTCGCAGATTTACTCTGAAGTAAAAATTTTACTTCAGGAGTTTAAAATTTCAGTAGTTCTGAGAGTTAAATTTTAACTCGTGATAACGTGGACGAATCCCAGCCGTTGGATTTATTTTTGATGGCCGAGATTCACGCTATGTCACCTCGTGACATGCCTACCCTATGTCACCCAATCTAAATCCGTGTCTGATGGTGGTGTGGTGCGCCACTAGTACAGATCCTTCTATCTGTGATGGGCTCTAATATGTTTAGAAATAGCGGGCCGTCACAAGGAAGTCATCTCAATCGGGCCGAAAAGTGCCCGATTGAGATATGGTCGCACAGACATGTTAGATGGGCATAAAACTTAAGCCCGTCACGGATGACACCTATCAGTGACGGGCCACAACTTTAGGCCCGTTTGAGATAACATTCCATATCTCAAACGGGCTTCAAGTTATGGCCCGTCACAAATGACCATCATCTGTGACGTGCACCAACTTGAGGCCTGTTTGAGATAACAACTAGGCCCGTCACAGATGACTCATCAGTAACGGGCTATATACTTAATCTCTATCGGGCATTAACTAAAGCCCGTCACCGATGACTATTTTTCTATTTTTTATATGAAATGTTTATATTTGTAAGTTGACTATAGCAAAATAATTTAGTGCAGTATAATAATTCATTTTATGAGTCAAAATAATTTTACGGGTAGTAAATGATTTCAAATAGAAAAATGTCAACAACAAAGTTGTATAACTTATCAGTATTTATAACTTTTAGTTTGGTCATTTTTCAATATAACATTTTTTTAACAGTTTGAATTTGAATTTAAAAATATGACAACTTCAAATAACATTTTCAAATACTAAATGATTTCAATTGAAAAAGTCATCAACAACAAAGTTGAATAACTCATCAAGATCTAAAACTTTTATTTTTGTTATTTCTTCATCCGACGAAATGTTAGTAATATTATTCACAAATTTTGCATATATGTGTTATAGTTTATAAAACCAGATAAGAGATATGTCAATTTTGTGAACAATGTTACTATCACTTTGTCGTATTAAGAAATGACCAAAATAAAAGTTTTAGATCTTGATGAGTTATTCAACTTTGTTGTTGATGACTTTTTCAGTTGATATCATTTAGTATTTGAAAATGTTGTTTGAAGTTGTCATATTTTCAAATTCAAATTCAAACGGTTCAAAAAATGTTATATAGAAAAATGACCAAAATAAAAGTTATAGATTTTGATGAGTTATACAACTTTGTTGTTGATGACTTTTTCAGTTGAAGTCGTTCACTGATCTAAAATTCTATTTGAACTTTTCAAACTTTGAATTTCAAATTTCGAATTGTTTAAATAGAGTCAGATGGAGAAATGACCAAAATAAAAATTTTGCACCTCGATGAGTTCTACAACTTTGGTTTTGGTGACTTTTCCATTTGAAATCATTTAATAACCCTAATTTGACATCCTGGCTTAGGGCATAATAGGATTAATATAATATTCATACCAACATGTTACAACTACTTTTCCGGAAGCTAATCTCCAAAGAACTTTAACGTTAAGTGTGCTTGGTCTAGAGCAATTTTAGGATGGGTGACCGACAATTTATTTATTTTTGGATTATACTCATATGTGATGGGTTATAGTTAATGCCCATCACAGATAAGGGTCGTCTGTGACGGGCGCTAGTTGTGCTTCGATGATGAGGGTTTCCGTTCTAGTGCGCCACATCGTACATCATGTCGCGCACGTCAATCCGATTTTCTCGTATATAAATGTCATCATCGTGCTCTGATCCTGACCCTAATGCTTTCAAAGTCAGCTTCGCACCCTCGTGCCAAAATATCTAGCTTCCTGTTCATTCCGTATCTATCTCTCCGTTTCAAAAAATATAAATTATTATATTTTGGATGACCATTTCAAGGGTGTTGTTGCTGTTGACTTGCAGCACATAAAGAGCGCTGATTTGATCCATATTATCACCAACATCCGAAGCTACATTGTCTATTTTGTTTGTGATTTAGGCCTGATTTAGTTCCTAAATTTTTTTTTCTAAAAACATCATATCGAATATTTAGACACATGCATGAACCATTAAATATAGATAAAAAGGAAAGTAATTGCCCAGTTAGTATAGAAATCGCATGACGAATTTTTTAGCCTAATTAGTACATGATTAGCCATAAGTGCTATAATAACCCACATGTACTAATGACGGATTAATTAGGCTCAAAAGATTCGTCTTGCGATTTCCAGGCGAGTTATAAAATTAGTTTTTTCCATTCGTATCTGAAAATCCCTTCCAAATTCCGATCAAACGTCCGATATAACATCCAAAAATTTTCTTTTCGCGAATTAAACAAGCCCTTACCTTCAACCTCAACATCTATACTGAAGGCTCGGTGTAACGTGTTGTAGAAAACAAAAGATGTCAACGCCTTCCTAGCGTCATCGGTGATGCTAGGCCATCGTGTCCATTGTCTCACCACTCACCCACTGCTAGGAAAAACATTTTTGCAGACGGATAAAACTAATTTTCACAAGCGGAAGAGAGGTCCGCCTGCACCACAACGACTGCGAAAATTATCGATTTTTGTAGTCAGGGCAACAGGCCCGCCTGCGAAAATGGAAGAAACGAACAAAAAAAAATCGCTGGCCCGCGCCGGGAGCCGCCGTCGCCACTCCACGCCGTCGGCGCCGCCGCCGGCCTCCCCCCTCCCTTCTCCGATCAGATCTGGGAGGGAGCGAGGGAGGGGAGCCGCCGCCGCCGCTGCCCGGCCCGCGCCGTCATCGCCTCCGCCGGCCTCCCCCTCCCTCCTTCGGCCAAATCTGGGAAGGAAGGGGAGGGGAGCCGCCGCCGCCGCCCGGCCCGCGCCGTCGCCGCTCCACGCCGTCGGCGCGCCGCCGGCCTCCCTCCTCCCTCCTCCGGCCAGATCTAGGAGGGAGGGGGGAGGGGAGCCGCCGCCGCCGCCCGGCCCGCGCTGTCGGCGCCGCCCTCCTCCGTCACCCTCCTCGGCCGCGCCGCCTCGCCTCCTCGCCGCTGCCGCCCTTCACCGCCACCGCCCGCCGCGGCCGTCGGGAGCCGACGCCGGGGAGAGTAGAAGTGAGGGGAGGGGAGAGGAGGAGAAGGGAGGGGAGGGGCCGGTGGTGAGGAGAGGTGAGGGCCTGAGGGGAAAGGAGGAGAGGTGTGGAGGGGAGGACTGAGGAGAGGTGTGAGGACTTAGAAAAAATTAGGGCCCGCAAGTGTATTTATATTCAAGTGTATTTTTGCAGGCGCCGCTTAAGTGGCGGACATCAAATTTCACCCTATTTATATTTTTGTAGGCAGTTATTTGACTCTAAGGGTTATGTCCGCCTATAAAAATAAGACCCTTACGTCGGAAAAAATACTTTTTCTAGGAGTGACCAGTAAGTAACCAGGGTCTATGTCTGCATGAGAGCTGCTATACATACAATTTTCTCACGTACGACAATCGTACGAAAGTAACGTTTCCAGTGATAGCCTGTCACGCGTTTTTAGCCGTTTCCAAGCAATACAACACATCACGCTAACCATCCGTTAGCAATCGTACTAGGATCGTACGATGAAGAAAATCGTATGCATCGGTGGCCACAGGGTAACGCATAAATATTATAGTTTTTTCTTTTTTTTTCTTATGGAAAACTAATACGACTATCTATTAACGGAGGGGGTGTAAGATTAATAAATAGAACCTTGCAAAGACATTTGATTGATTTCTTCATGAATGAGCAATTATGGTTTGTTAAAGTACCGTTGTTATAAAAAAAATTAGTTGTTTTAATAGGTTTTTTTAATTTTTATTTTGAAAGTATATCCCTCAGTATTTCAAAATGAACCTTTCTATCATACCATTGGAGATGGCAAGGCAAGACAACAGTATGCCGTCATAAACAGTAGTGCTACAATACCTTCCGTTCATGGCATGGCACTGGTAACTTTCCACGCCACTCGCGGTGGCGTAGCAAAATTCTTGTCACACCGTATTTTTTTTACTGGTGTGGAACTAATTAAATTGGTGTAGCAAAAAATTTCAGATCTAAACACAAGTTTTCGAATGGTTTAATTTTAAAATTAAATTATAAAGAGTTTAAAAAAACTGTTTTTTTACAAGAGCATCAGTAGCACCTGAGGTCCTAGGTTCGGCTCCCCATGGGAGCGAATTTTTCAGGATTTAACAGCGTTGTGCTTTCAGTGGTAGGCAACGTACCCGTCGACAGCGAGGCGCCTGTGGTGACTTTGTTAATTTCTCCAGGATTTGCCAGCCGTCTTCGAAGATGCTCATAGGGGTAGGGTTTGCGTGCGTGTGTTCATTGGGGTGAGTGCGCGTACGTTGTGAGTGTCTGCGTTGTACTGTGTAATTCTAAAAAAAATAGGATTTTTTTAGTGTACCTCTGAATGAATATGGACCATTAAAGAGATGAGATCTAAGGGTGGAAATTTGTTGCTACTACACCTAATATAAAGGTGTAGTAGTGTAGTAGAAGGGTAATTGTGGAAAAAAATCATGTGGCATTCTTGTAAATTCAGTTTTTATGTGGGTGTATTCTGTAATTGCGCTTCGGCTGATGGGCCTCTCGATGCAGGCCCACTCGTTCGTAGATGGCCTCTAAATTTCTTTATGGCCTGTACTTGCTGAGAATATACGTGGATATTTTCAGAGATTCACTGTTAAATTACGTTCGGACACTAAAAAATCGTGAGGTTTTTAATATTCGACATTATATCCTAAAATAGTATTTGACCTTTATTCTATGCGCGGTTGACCGGAAAACCATGTTTTTTAAAAAAATCGACCCGGCTCGGATGGTCCCAAGCTTAATAGTTATTTGTCGAAAATAATCCGTTCCGCTTTATTCTATGTGCAGTCGATCGAAAATCCATATTTTTTAAAAGTTGACCCGGTCCGGACTTAATAGTTATTTGTTCAAAATAATCCGTTCCGCTTTATTTTTAAAAATCGACCCGGTCGGGCTTGATAATAACTAGTTCCCGAAAATAATCCGTTCCGCTTTGTTTTTTAAAATCGACCCAGTCGGGGCTCGATAATAACTAGTTCCCGAAAATAATCCGTTCCGCTTTATTTTTTAAAATCGACCCGATCAGGTTTTAATAATAACTAGTTATCCAAAATAATCCGTTCCGCTTTATTCTAGGCACGGTCAACCGGAAAACCATGTTTTTTTAAAAAGTTCCAACAAATTACGTTCGGACACTAAAAAAACGTTTTGCTATAATATATGCACGCTCGACAGAAAAACCACTATTTTTTATATTCGACCTGGTCCGGGTAGACCGGACGGATTCCAGGCTTAAGCAATTGCATCCTAAAATAATATTTGTCCTTTATTCTATGTGCGCTCGACCAAAAACCATGATGTTTTCTATATTCGCCCGGGTCTGGACACACTCAGACTTAATCTTTTTTATCCAAAAAAAAACCATTTACACTTGACAGAAAAACCATTATTTTTTTATATTCGATCCGGTCTGGGTAGACCGGAGGGATTCCGGGCCTAACCATTTGTGTTCTAAAATAATATTTGTCATTTATTCTATGCACGCTCGACTGAAAAATCACTAGGTTTTTTTATATTCGACATGGTCCGAACACACCCGAACTTAATCTTTTTTTGTCAAAAAAAACTGATATGCTATAATATATGCGCGCTCGATAGAAAAACCATGATTTTTTATATTCGACCTAGTCCGGGTAGATCGGACGGATTCCGGGTTTAACCAATTGCATCCTAAAATAATATTTGTCCTTTACTCTGTGCATGCTCGTCCAAAAAAAACACGAGGTTTTTTATATTCGATCCGATCCGGACACCCGGACTTAATCCTTTTTTTAAAAAAAAAACCGTTATGCTATAATATATTCTGTGATATAGTACACCCAAGTTTGATTTATTTAAATAATAGTAACCCGAGTTATTTTTTTTCACGCGTAAAATAGAGAATATAATAGGCCTGATTTTTTTTATGTCGCTCTGCTCTGCTTACGCCAAACATGGAGGTTGCAAAATTGCAATGATCAAGAGCAGCTTGTGCATGGTAATTCTCTGTTGCAAAATGCTTTTTCCTCGAAGCTGGTTAATAAAACTGGAAAAAAAGTGCATGAGTTAAGTAAAGAAAGTAACCCGTAATCCTGATGCTATAGCATGCTTCAAAATTATACCCTTGAATGCCAAAAAAAGTACTAGTAATAGGCATCACTTATATTTGTCGAAGAACAATATTTTTTTTTTTTTTGAGATCAGGTTATTCATTACCCAGCTTGAAAACCAAGCCAAAAGGAGACCACAGTCTTCTGAGTCTAAAGAGCTCAGTCATCAAGAAACAAAAGGAAAAACGAGGAAACTAGATGGCAGGGGACTCCAGCTACATATCAAGCGAATAAAATACCACTAACAATATAGATAGCTAGGCCTCAGAAACCGGAACCCCTAACAAGCCCCCCCCCCCCCCCCCCCCAAAAAAAAAAAAAAAAAAAAAAAAAAAAAAA